GACCCGGATGCTCCAGACATCCCGACCCCGCGCTCTTACGCTGAGGCGATCGCGGGTGAGTACTCTTCTCAGTGGCAGACAGCCATGGACGCAGAGATGGCATCCTGGAAGTCCATAGGCACCTACGTCGACGAGGTTCCCCCTCCTGGGGCGAACATCGTCAGTGGCATGTGGATTTTCAGGGTGAAGCGGCCGCCAGGTTCTCCGCCTGTCTTGAAGGCTCGTTACGTTGCTCGAGGTTTCAGTCAGCGAGAGGGAGTAGACTTCTTGCAGACCTTCTCCCCCACCCCGAAGATGACCACTCTTCGGGTGCTGCTGCACGTTGCCGCTCAGCGTGACTACGAGCTTCACTCTCTTGACTTCAGCACAGCTTTCTTACAGGGCAGCCTGCACGAGGAGATCTGGCTGCGCCGCCCTCCTGGCTTCACTGGGTCGTTCCCTCCTGGTACCCAGTGGAGCCTCCGGCGGCCAGTCTACGGTCTCCGTCAGGCGCCGCATGAGTGGCACGACACACTGAGGACGACACTTGCGGCTCTTGGGTTTGCTCCGTCGACTGCTGACCCGTTGCTGTTTCTACGCACCGACACTTCGCTGCCGCCGTTCTACATCCTCGTGTACGTCGACGACTTGGTCTTTGCCACTGCTGACACTGAGGCTCTCGCCCACGTGAAGTCGGAGCTGCAGAAGAGACACACGTGCACAGACCTGGGTGAGCTGCGCAACTATCTTGGCTTGCAGATCACCCGGGACAGAGCACGTCGCATCATCACACTGACTCAGTCACACATGGTGCAGCAGGTCCTTCAGCGCTTCGGCTTCACCTGGTCCTCAGCACAGGCCACTCCTCTGGCTACAGGTCACTCGCTCTCAGCTCCACCTTCGGACGAGTCCGTAGAGCCGAGTGGTCCTTACCCAGAGCTAGTGGGCTGCCTCATGTACCTGATGACCTGCACTCGTCCTGACCTTGCGTACCCTCTTGGCCTTCTGGCTCGCTATGTGGCTCCTGGTCGGCACCGAAAGGTGCACATGGATGCTGCTAAGAGGGTACTGCGCTACTTGTGCAGTACATCAGGCATGGGGCTCGTGCTTGGAGGGAGGAGCTCAGTTGTTCTCACTGGGCACTCAGACGCTTCTTGGGTTGACGACCAGGCTACTCAGCGGTCGTCACAGGGTTACACCTTCAGCCTTGGCTCTGGTTCAGTTTCGTGGCGTTCTACACGCTCGTCTTCAGTTCTCAGCTCCAGTTGTGAGGCTGAGATCTACGCCACAGCCATGGCTGCACAGGAGTTACGCTGGCTCACCTACCTGCTGACTGACTTGGGAGAGCGGCCTCGTTCTCCTCCAGTGCTGTATGTCGACAACAAGGCTACCATTGCCTTGTGTGAGGAGCACAGACTGGAGCATAGAACGAAGCACATCGCTCTGCGTTACTTCCTGGCTCGAGAGTTGCAGCAGCGTGGTCAGCTTTGTCTGCGTTAAGTGGCCACTCGGGCCAACACTGCTGATATATTCACCAAGGCACTTCAGGCTGGTGATCATCAGCGTTTCTGCACTATTCTAGGGCTTGTGCCCACTTTTCCTCACTTGCTGTAGGCTTTGCTTGTACTGTGATATATATGTATATACCTGCATGCTTGCATTGCTAGGTAGAGTTCACTGTGATGTTTGTGTTGCATATATGTCTCTGCATGTGAACTGGCGTTGTGGCCCTTTACTTGTGCTCAATGTGTGTGGTGACGTTGTGATCCACCCTGAGCTTGCTTTGCTTTTCTTGACTGGTCTTGTGATCTCCTGCCCTCCCCCACTTTGCTTATGGGGGTGTGTCAAACATTTATATATATGTTAGTGTTATTGCTAGGCTGTAGTGGGGTAGATAGTGTGGGGTATAACCCCTTAGGGTTTTCCTCTTGTACCAACTCTCTCGATACTCGAATTCAGCCTTGCCTTAGTCTCGACACATGGTGCATATTGGAAACCTCTTCCTGAACCAGAGCGAATTACCATGAGAGGAGTCATGGTAGCATTCCTACACAGCATGGGAGCAATGCACGCTCAGGTTATGCTCCTGCTGTTTACCGGTCTTCAAGGATCCCTCCCTCCTCTCCCTTCTCGTGCTGCATTATAGTACTTGGCAAAATGCCACTCACTAGAGCCATGGGCGAGATGTTAGGGCAGGGCCACAGCATGTTTCACTCACGGTAATTGCAACACACACAGCATGTCATTTGAAACAAGCTCTACAATGACAATATCTAGGTAGTCCTAGGGTGGAGACAGCTTGAGCATCACTGAGCCGCATGAAAGAGGTCCCTGCTGTCGTCTTCAGCTGCACTTGACACATCTCCCTTCTCTTGCCTAGCAGATGCAGCACCGCTGGCACCACCAGAGCCAGCACCTGAATTCATGCCGGCACCATTATCGCGAGCCTTGGCCCAGGACTCGGGCCTCTTTACAAGCACGTTCTCCTCCCCCAGGCCCCCATAGAGCCCCTGCTGCTTGGGTGATTTGACCCGCTCCATGTACCACTTCATTCTGTCCGCCACACTCACCTTGCTGCTTGGCGATGCAACCGATGGCGACGGGCGGGCAGAGGGGGTTGGAGATGATACTGTCTGCAGTGCTGGTGATGGTGATGCTGCTACCGACAACCCTGATTGGCTGGACTGTGCTGCTGCTGAAGTGGATGCTGACATGGATGCTGACGTGGATCCTGGCGAGCCACCTCCCGCAGCAGTGTTCTTGGTGCGCACGCGTGGAATCACCACGGTCTGCACGAGAGAGTCGAAGCGACCCATGAGGCTGCCCCCTTCCTTCACCCCCACAGGCCCCGGCTCTGCCCCCACATGGGCGCCATCGGAGAACCCCACCACCTCCACCAGCAGCCCGCCCTGCTCGTCTCGGAACTTCACCCGCGCTCTTCTCGCTCTAGACGCTGCCTCACTTGTTGACAAAGCGGCGTGAGGCTTGCTTGAGCCGCCCGCTGCTGCTGTTGAAGGCGCTCCTACTTTGTGCTTCTTTCCAGTTGGCTCCTCGTCGTTTGCCTTCCCATTCCTCCCTTCACCTGCTTTATCAGCCCCTCTCTCATCCCCGCCCTTCCCTCCTTCTGCTGCTGCTTCCACCTCCCCTCCCTCCTCCCCCCCTCCTTCTTCCCTCTTTCTCTTCCTCTCTCTCTCCACGGCTCGTCTGGACGGACCAGCGCCGGTATTCCCAAGGTTGTAATCCCCAGCGGGCAACCCAAGCAGATTCAGCACCATGTTGTACTGTGCAACTGCCTCTGGGTCGCCCTTATCCGGGGGAGGTGGCAACTGCTGCTGCTCCTGCTGATGTTCTCTCACTCCCGGCCAGGCTGTAACAGCAGCTGTAGCCGCGAAATGCGCTTCGTCTGAACTGGCAAGATCAGTAGCTGCTGCTGCAGATGGCAACGGTGATGGCGGTGGGGGCTGCGGGATTGTCTTGCGCAGCACGTACGTGCGTGTGGAGGCGGCAAAGCGGAGAGATTGGCCGGGCTCTATCTCAACAGGGATATCCTTTAAGAGGCGCTCGTTAGAGACATAAGTGCCGTGAACCGAGCTGCGAACAGGGAAAAAACAGGAGTGTTAAAGCATGCTGAAGGGGTTCAGAACGGTGCAGTACAGTACGCACCCCAGGTCAATGACAAAGACGCTGCCGTTCTTCCTGTGCACCACTGCAGCGTGCTGGCGGGAGAGGGAGGGATGCTCCAGCACATAGTCGCACGTGGTGGTTTGCCGCCCAAACAGAGACCGCTTCTTGTCCAATGGTATGCTGCCAGCTGAGACTCCATCCTGCCGCATTACACAAATGAACACATCCGAGACAAGAACACGATATAATTCACACCCCAAACAGGATGGTATCCCTCCCAGTGGATTGTCATTTTGAGTTTCACATTCCAAATCGAAAGTACTTGATTCTCTGGATGTTGCCTCTATCGCTGAGGGAGAATATTCACCTTGAGAACTTCCAGCGAGTACACGCCTGGTTTTGGAACCACAGCACACTCCGGAGGCTGCCACGTGGAGGATCCTCCGCCAATGGTGATCGCAACCACTTGCTCCTGCTCCTGCTGCTGTTGCGGCTGCTGCTGCTTCTGCTGCTGCTGCTGCTGATTCGCATGCGTCTGTGCGGCATGTTCCTGCGATTTGGTAACAGGCGATCGGATGGGCTGAGTTGACGAGGCATAGATGACGGTACCTGTCGCACGGCCTGCTGCGACAGCCGTTGTCTGCGACGCAACGGACGACTTTTCGGGAACGGCTCCGCGAGTCTCCCCAATTCCGAAAGGGTCTGACGACTGCGCTTTCTTAAACCGGTCGAGATTAAATCGGTTGAACATGACCGTCGCTTGGATCGTAGTGCGCGGCGAGGTACTGGCCGGAATATAGCCAAAGATAAAAGCACCAAGAAGCAGGGAAAGGTATTCTGCAAGGTTCAGGCAAACTATGGCTGGAACATTTTTTGCTGGAGCATGTTCAGCCGAGAAGCGTGGTTTGGAGAAACAATTCTCAAGGAACACTCGGCTATACGCGTTAAAGAAAATATCAACGTGTATGTTATCAGAGAGATGTATTTATCAGCTTCCACACAACAGCTCACTTCTGTTTGGATCACATGTTTGCGGTGATCCCTTGAGTTCATCTCCCCTCTCCTGGGAAAGCCGAGGCGAACTCAACAAAATGATCCCAGAATGCCATTCCCACTGCATTCCATGATCGCCTGACAGCCTCTCCGTATCGCCTCGCCGTCGCCTCGTCACCTTGATGTGGACGGGGTCTGCAGCCAGCAGCTGCGTCGCGGTAGCGCGATTCAGTGTCCCGCTCACTCCGCTCCGTTCGCTTAGCTCGCTTCGATCGCTTAGCCAACTTAGGTCCCGCTGTGTCGTGGCGGCCATACCGTCACCTCGCACGTTCGACGGCGGTGTGTGCCACGATAACCGTCCCTCTTCGGTGGCGAATTCACCCGCATTAGCGCGTACGGTCCCTATGGCTGTCCACGTCAGCGCGCATCGTCCGTTGGTCGGCGTCAGCAGCGGCCTTAACGCTCATCGGCGCGCTTTCGGCGTGCGAATCCCCGTTAGTAGCTCTTCCTCGTCTGCCTTTATCGGGAACGGCGGGATTATGCGGGGTGTGGCCGGCAATGACCGCGAAATGGTCGACAGAAACGGCGGATTTCGACGAGCGATGCTGATCGCGGCGTCATTGATGGGAGGCGGAGCTGCTGCTGCTGGCACCGCTGCTGCCTCCAATGCGGCCATGGCGGAAGGTGAGCGATCAGGCAGGACCGCTATCTTAGGCCCGTGTGTGTGTCTCTTTCAACCATACACGCCTGCAAGTGAGCGCAGCGGTGATGTCACTATCCCTGACTTCATTTCCCACCCATGATTCCTTCCCTTTTTCCCACCCCATCGCTCCTCCCTCCAATCATCCCTTCTCTTCCCCCGCTTTATTCGTTTCCAGATCTCACTGCTTCATCTGGACCCACATTGGCGTCAGCAACAGAATCAGACTCAGAATCGGATCTCAACTCAGGATACGCTCTGCCGCCAGCGGAGATCCTGTCCATCGTGGATGCGCCGCCCAATCCCGCGCTGTCGTTTAGTCCGAAGCGGGAGAGGGTACTGTTCATGCACCGACCTTCGCTGCCGCCCATTTCCGAGCTGGCTCGGCCGGAGCTGAAGCTGGCTGGGGTGAGGATCGACCCCGAGGCTCACAGCCGCAGCAGAATGTGAGTAACGGCGGCAGCAGAATGTGATTCATGGCGGCAGTTGCACGAGAATCAGAGTTACAGTGGAGTGTGCGTCACAGCAGAAGCATAAAGCGAGGTCTATCGGCAGCGTGTATATGAGTGTGATGCGCCACCGTGCGAGCTGTTGCTGCAGAACAATGTGATTCTTCTCTCTTTAGCCTTGAAGCGCCCTGTGCACCTAATTCCTAACAGTCCATGTGACAACACACCGACCACCCTGTCGCCCCCTCTGCACCAGGTCGTTCTACTCGGGCGTGACCATCCACACAAGAAGCACAGTGCCACGCCTTTGTAACGCCTCTGCTCTCTCCCGCCCCATTGCACCGGCCCCATTGCACCCACCCCTCTGCACCCATCCCATTGCCCCGTCTCTGCACCACCAGGTCGTTCTACACGGGGGTGACCATCCACAGGGTGAATGGCGACGACACACTCGGGGACGCGGTGGACATCACAGGGCTGCCTCCGGGCAGCAAGATCAACTTCCTCTCCTGGTGAGACCAGGGGGGTGAGGGATGCATCTCTATTGATTGCTATGAGGGGTAGCATAGTGGTTCTAGGAATGTTATCTCCTTACCTCCATGGTTACGGGAGGCTGGGGATGGGTTTTTGCTTTTTGCCTGCGTCATCCCTACCTTCCTTTATACATACATGCATACATGGCGTGTCAACACATTGCATTGCCCACATGGCATGCCAGACGTCACATCGTCTGCCTGTCCCTCTTCTCCGTGTATCAGGTCACCAGACGGCCAGCACTTGGCGTTCACAGTGCGCGGCGACGGCGAGGAGGTGAGACACTCACAGTATCCTAGTGGACCTTGACTGGTGTGTCTCCGTGCCTTGCCTGCTCCTCCGTACTTCCACCTTGCCTGTCTGCTCTTCTCAATCCGTGCCTCCTCTCACCTTCGTCTCCTGCACCCCTCCTTCACCCTTCACCTCCCACCCTTCTTTCCCCACCCTTCTCCCTCCAGGGCGACAATGGCGAGAAGCAGGCAGGCCGCCAGCTGTCACTCTGGGTGGCTGACGTGGCAACAGGCAAGGCGAGGCAGCTGCTGGGGCCGCCGCATGCAGCCATCAACGCTGTCTTCGACTCGTGAGGATCTTTTCTCTGCTATGCTCTTGAGCTATGAACCTGCCGCCCCGTGCTCTGTACCACATCTGGGCCCACGTCTTCCAGTCGTTTGCTTACATTGCACCTCCCCCCGCTTCACCTCCTCAATGCAACCTGCCCATCCCCATCCCCATCCCTCTCCATCCTTCCCCACCCCTCCCCTCCCTTCTGCACCCCTCCCAACCCCACAGCTATGCGTGGCTGGACGGCAGCACGCTCATCGCGAGCATCATCCCCCCAGGCCACCCGCCTCTGCCCACGCGCCCTGCCGTCCCCCCCGGGCCCAAGATCTCGGACAACCAGGGGGGCATGGCAGCGCAGTCGCGCACGTTCACGGATCTGCTCAAGGACGAGTTTGACGCCCGCCTGCTGGAGCACTTTGCGCTCTCTCAGATAGTGAAAATTGATATTAATGACCCGGAGGGATCGATGACGCCCATTGGCCCACCGGACATGTACATGTCGGTATGTGCTAGTGGGGGAGAGACGGGAGGGAGGGACGGGAGGGGAGGGAGAGTGGGAGAGGGAGGGAAGAGGCCTCACGACAGCAAGTACGTGCTAGTTGATCGCATGTTGCGTCCCTGCGTCCTCGTTGGTATCCAATCCTTCCCCACAGCAGCAACCAGTCTCACTCCCCACCCTACCTCACCCACACAGGTGGAGCCATCACACGACGGCAAGTACCTGCTGGTGGAGCGCATGTGCCGCCCCTTCTCCTTCGAGGTGCCCTGTGGCCGCTTCCCCCGCCGCGTCGAGGTCTGGCGCAGCGACTCCGGTGACCTGCTGCAGGTGAGTCAGAGGCAGTGAGGGGGGACGTAGTGGGTGCAGTGCAGTGCAGGGTGCTGCAGCAGAGGCCCTGTGGCCGCTTTCTCCGCCGCGTGGAGGTCTGGTGCAGCGGCACCGGTGACGCTGCACCAGTGACATGCTGCAGGTGGGGAGAGGGGGGTTCTGTGAACGCAGAGCAGTGGAGCAGCCCAGCAATGGACGCCGTGTCATCATTCTCCTGCCGCATTGCCGTGCGGCCCGGCGACACAGCGAGATGGTGCCAGCCAGTGATGTGTAGGACGAGTGCAGCCCGTGAGCCGTCTCCCCCTTGTTTCCCTCCCTTGCCTCCCTGCGTCTCCACTTCTGCCATCTCTCTGCCTTCCTCCCCTTGCTCTGCGTCCTTTTCTGTCTCCACTCTCCTCCAACCTACCCAGCTGCTGCCGTTTCTCCCTCACTTCCGTGACCAGACAGTGGCAAAATCAAATCTCTGTGCCTCTACCAATGTGCCTCTCCTACTGTACTTCCCTCACATTGCACAGCTGGTGGCGGACCTACCGCTGGCGGACAACATCCCAGTGACCTTCAACTCAGTCAGGACGGGCCGCCGCAGCATCAACTGGCGCCCTGACGTGCCCAACTGCCTCTACTGGTGGGTGGGAAGCTACTGCTACGTCCTCACATTGTACTGAATGCTACCACTTTGTGTGGCTCTTTCAGGTCGACACCTTGTAAAACGTTCTTCTGCTTTGGAAAAACTAGAGCGCCCTGTGCTTCCCCCATTTGACATCCTTCTCATGCCTGCTGCCTGCTGCTTGCTGCCTGCTGCCTGCTGCCTGCTTCCTGCTGCCTGCTGCCTCGCCCCTGCTGCCTCGCCCCTGCTGCCTCGCCTCTGCTGTGCGCCCCCCCCGGCCTTTCATGATTCATCTCCGCCAGGGTGGAGACGCAGGACGGGGGAGACGCCAAGGTGGACGCCTCTCCACGTGACATCGTGTACACACTTCCAGCTGACCCCAAGCCCGGCCAGCAGCCTCAGGAGCTCTGCTGCCTCGACCTGCGCTACGGGTGCGTGCGTGGGTGTGCGTGTGGGTGCATGCACGGGTGCATATGGTGATCCACAATGACAAGCTTTTGGTGAAGTGTTTTCATCTGCTTTCTAGTTTTGTATAGCAGCCTGTGTTGTGTTCATCCCTTTCATTCCATTTGCGTTTGACTTCTCATCTCCCTCCCATCACCTACTCCCCGTCCCTCAGGGGTATCACATGGGGCGATGAGGGACTGGCTCTGGTCTATGAGAGCTGGTTCAAGACTCGCCGAACCCGAACCTGGGCCATAGCCCCGGGCGGTGCCTCCGGACCTCTTCCTCCGGACCAGCGTCCCCCGCCGAAGCTCATCTTCGACCGGTCCTACGAGGACCGGTATTCCGACCCTGGCAGTCCACTCCTGCGTCGAACCAGCATGGGGACCTACGTGCTGGCGCAGGTTCGGATGCCAGATGGCGCGCTGCGATTGCTCCTCGCCGGGGACGGCGCCAGCCCGGAGGGCAACGTGCCGTTCCTTGACCTGTTTGACTGGCAGAGCGGGGAGAAGGAGCGTGTGTGGCGCAGCGACACAGACAAGTACTTTGAGACCATGTACTCGCTGCTAGGGGATCAGGAGGAGGGGCCCATTGACTTGAAGGACTTGAAGCTCATTCTGTCCCGCGAGTCCAAGGATGACCCTCCACAGTCGTTCGTCAGGAGGTGCGTGCTGCTCCTGTGCCATTAGGGTTCGTCAGGAGTGTGGGGCTGAAGACACACACACACACACACACACACACACACACACACACACACACACACACACACACACACACACACACACACACACACACACACACACATGCACGCACGGGTGCATGCTTTTGTCTGACTCATCACCGCCAGTTCTTCTGGTTACTGCGGTCGGTTCCTACTCCACCTCCTCCGCCCCACACTCCTGCCCTTCCTCCAATGTCTCCTCTCTCAATCTCTCTTTCTCTCCCTACACTTTCCCTCCTCCCCACCCCACACCACCAGGTGGGCGGACGGGTCAGAGGTGCAGCTGACGAACTTTCCGCACCCCTACCCATCCCTCCGCGGCCTCTCCAAGGAGATCATCCGCTACACGCGATCCGACGGTGTGCAGCTCACGGCCAAGCTCTTCCTGCCGCCCGGCTACAACCCCGCTACAGACGGGCCGCTGCCCACGGTGCTGTGGGCGTACCCCCGCGAGTACAAGAGCAAGGAGGCCGCGGGGCAGGTGCAGGGCTCGCCCAATCAGTTCCCGGGGATCGGGGCGTCCTCACCGCTGCTGTTCCTCGCTAGAGGGTAAGGCCCTTTCTCTTTGATCCAGACGGGCCCCTGCCCACAGTGCTGTGGGCGTCTCCTCGGGAGTACAAGAGCAAGGAGGCCGCAGGGCAGGTGCAGGGCTCGCCCAACCAGTTCCCTGGGATCGGAGCCTCTTCGCCACTGCTCTTCCTGGCTAGAGGGTACGGCCTTAGTTTTGCTCCAAATGCCCACTCTGTGCTTGCACATGGGATTTGTGCTGATGAATGGCCTGGGTCTGCTCTAACAAGCCAAGTATCTCTTACAGCAACCTCTTTTTCTCTGCATGTTCCGTGCCGTCGTTTTTGAGGTGCCTAGCAGGTGCATCATCTTCTCTGCACGTCCCATGCCCCTCCCCTCTCCTCCCATCACTCTCTGTGCAGCTACGCGGTGCTGAGTGGCCCATCAATGCCCATCATAGGGCAGGGCGAGGAGGAGGCAAACGACCGGTCTGTGGAGCAGCTGGTGTCCAGTGCAGAGGCGGCGGTGGATGAGGTGGTGGGGCGCGGCGTGGCGCAGCGCGACAGGATTGCCATTGGAGGCCACTCGTACGGCGCGTTCATGGCGGCTAATTTGCTTGCTCATGCACCGCACGTGTTTGCTTGTGCAATCGCTCAGAGCGGCGCGTACAACCGCACGCTCACGCCGTTCTCCTTCCAGGTGAGTGCAGAGCAGAGTGCATGTGGTGTGCAGGGCACTGCTCCCACTCACCCCCTCGGGAGTTGGAGGAGCGCACGTTGTGGCAGGAGCCCGAGGTGCACATGACCATGCGCCCCTTCCCCGCCCTCTTTCCTCCCTGTCCATGACCAGGAGAAACTGCTGTGGAGAAACTGCTGTGGAGAAACTGCTGTGGAGAAACTGCTGTGGAGAAACTGCTGTGGAGAAACTGCTGTGGAGAAACTGCTGTGGAGAAACTGCTGTGGAGAAACTGCTGTGGAGAAACTGCTGTGGAGAAACTGCTGTGGAGAAACTGCTGTGGAGAAACTGCTGTGGAGAAACTGCTGTGGAGAAACTGCTGTGGAGAAACTGCTGTGGAGAAACTGCTGTGGAGAAACTGCTGTGGAGAAACTGCTGTGGAGAAACTGCTGTGGAGAAACTGCTGTGGAGAAACTGCTGTGGAGAAACTGCTGTGGAGAAACTGCTGTGGAGAAACTGCTGTGGAGAAACTGCTGTGGAGAAACTGCTGTGGAGAAACTGCTGTGGAGAAACTGCTGTGGAGAAACTGCTGTGGAGAAACTGCTGTGGAGAAACTGCTGTGGAGAAACTGCTGTGGAGAAACTGCTGTGGAGAAACTGCTGTGGAGAAACTGCTGTGGAGAAACTGCTGTGGAGAAACTGCTGTGGAGAAACTGCTGTGGAGAAACTGCTGTGGAGAAACTGCTGTGGAGAAACTGCTGTGGAGAAACTGCTGTGGAGAAACTGCTGTGGAGAAACTGCTGTGGAGAAACTGCTGTGGAGAAACTGCTGTGGAGAAACTGCTGTGGAGAAACTGCTGTGGAGAAACTGCTGTGGAGAAACTGCTGTGGAGAAACTGCTGTGGAGAAACTGCTGTGGAGAAACTGCTGTGGAGAAACTGCTGTGGAGAAACTGCTGTGGAGAAACTGCTGTGGAGAAACTGCTGTGGAGAAACTGCTGTGGAGAAACTGCTGTGGAGAAACTGCTGTGGAGAAACTGACTGTGGAGAAACTGCTGTGGAGAAACTGCTGTGGAGAAACTGCTGTGGAGAAACTGCTGTGGAGAAACTGCTGTGGAGAAACTGCTGTGGAGAAACTGCTGTGGAGAAACTGCTGTGGAGAAACTGCTGTGGAGAAACTGCTGTGGAGAAACTGCTGTGGAGAAACTGCTGTGGAGAAACTGCTGTGGAGAAACTGCTGTGGAGAAACTGCTGTGGAGAAACTGCTGTGGAGAAACTGCTGTGGAGAAACTGCTGTGGAGAAACTGCTGTGGAGAAACTGCTGTGGAGAAACTGCTGTGGAGAAACTGCTGTGGAGAAACTGCTGTGGAGAAACTGCTGTGGAGAAACTGCTGTGGAGAAACTGCTGTGGAGAAACTGCTGTGGAGAAACTGCTCTGGAGAAACTGCTGTGGAGAAACTGCTGTGGAGAAACTGCTGTGGAGAAACTGCTGTGGAGAAACTGCTGTGGAGAAACTGCTGTGGAGAAACTGCTGTGGAGAAACTGCTGTGGAGAAACTGATGTGGAGAAACTGCTGTGGAGAAACTGCTGTGGAGAAACTGCTCTGGAGAAACTGCTGTGGAGAAACTGCTGTGGAGAAACTGCTGTGGAGAAACTGCTGTGGAGAAACTGCTGTGGAGAAACTGCTGTGGAGAAACTGCTGTGGAGAAACTGCTGTGGAGAAACTGCTGTGGAGAAACTGCTGTGGAGAAACTGCTGTGGAGAAACTGCTGTGGAGAAACTGCTGTGGAGAAACTGCTGTGGAGAAACTGCTGTGGAGAAACTGCTGTGGAGAAACTGCTGTGGAGAAACTGCTGTGGAGAAACTGCTGTGGAGAAACTGCTGTGGAGAAACTGCTGTGGAGAAACTGCTGTGGAGAAACTGCTGTGGAGAAACTGCTGTGGAGAAACTGCTGTGGAGAAACTGCTGTGGAGAAACTGCTGTGGAGAAACTGCTGTGGAGAAACTGCTGTGGAGAAACTGCTGTGGAGAAACTGCTGTGGAGAAACTGCTGTGGAGAAACTGCTGTGGAGAAAACTGCTGTGGAGAAACTGCTGTGGAGAAACTGCTGTGGAGAAACTGCTGTGGAGAAACTGCTGTGGAGAAACTGCTGTGGAGAAACTGCTCTGGAGAAACTGCTGTGGAGAAACTGCTGTGGAGAAACTGCTGTGGAGAAACTGCTGTGGAGAAACTGCTCTGGAGAAACTGCTGTGGAGAAACTGCTGTGGAGAAACTGATGGGGAGAAACTGCTGTGGAGAAACTGATGGGGAGAAACTGCTGTGGAGAAACTGCTGTGGAGAAACTGCTGTGGAGAAACTGCTGTGGAGAAACTGCTGTGGAGAAACTGCTGTGGAGAAACTGCTGTGGAGAAACTGCTGTGGAGAAACTGCTGTGGAGAAACTGCTGTGGAGAAACTGCTCTGGAGAAACTGCTGTGGAGAAACTGCTGTGGAGAAACTGCTGTGGAGAAACTGCTGTGGAGAAACTGCTCTGGAGAAACTGCTGTGGAGAAACTGCTGTGGAGAAACTGATGGGGAGAAACTGCTGTGGAGAAACTGATGGGGAGAAACTGCTGTGGAGAAACTGCTGTGGAGAAACTGCTGTGGAGAAACTGCTGTGGAGAAACTGCTGTGGAGAAACTGCTGTGGAGAAACTGATGGGGAGAAACTGCTGTGGAGAAACTGATGGGGAGAAACTGCTGTGGAGAAACTGATGGGGAGAAACTGCTGTGGAGAAACTGATGGGGAGAAACTGCTGTGGAGAAACTGATGGGGAGAAACTGCTGTGGAGAAACTGCTGTGGAGAAACTGCTGTGGAGAAACTGCTGTGGAGAAACTGCTGTGGAGAAACTGCTGTGGAGAAACTGCTGTGGAGAAACTGCTGTGGAGAAACTGCTGTGGAGAAACTGCTGTGGAGAAACTGCTGTGGAGAAACTGCTGTGGAGAAACTGCTGTGGAGAAACTGCTGTGGAGAAACTGCTGTGGAGAAACTGCTGTGGAGAAACTGCTGTGGAGAAACTGCTGTGGAGAAACTGCTGTGGAGAAACTGCTGTGGAGAAACTGCTGTGGAGAAACTGCTGTGGAGAAACTGCTGTGGAGAAACTGCTGTGGAGAAACTGCTCTGGAGAAACTGCTGTGGAGAAACTGCTGTGGAGAAACTGCTGTGGAGAAACTGCTGTGGAGAAACTGCTCTGGAGAAACTGCTGTGGAGAAACTGCTGTGGAGAAACTGATGGGGAGAAACTGCTGTGGAGAAACTGATGGGGAGAAACTGCTGTGGAGAAACTGCTGTGGAGAAACTGCTGTGGAGAAACTGCTGTGGAGAAACTGCTGTGGAGAAACTGCTGTGGAGAAACTGCTGTGGAGAAACTGCTGTGGAGAAACTGCTGCTGGAGAAACTGCTGTGGAGAAACTGCTGTGGAGAAACTGCTGTGGAGAAACTGCTGTGGAGAAACTGCTGTGGAGAAACTGCTCTGGAGAAACTGCTGTGGAGGAAACTGCTGTGGAGAAACTGATGGGGAGAAACTGCTGTGGAGAAACTGATGGGGAGAAACTGCTGTGGAGAAACTGCTGTGGAGAAACTGCTGTGGAGAAACTGCTGTGGAGAAACTGCTGTGGAGAAACTGCTGTGGAGAAACTGATGGGGAGAAACTGCTGTGGAGAAACTGATGGGGAGAAACTGCTGTGGAGAAACTGATGGGGAGAAACTGCTGTGGAGAAACTGATGGGGAGAAACTGCTGTGGAGAAACTGATGGGGAGAAACTGCTGTGGAGAAACTGCTGTGGAGAAACTGCTGTGGAGAAACTGCTGTGGAGAAACTGCTGTGGAGAAACTGCTGTGGAGAAACTGCTGTGGAGAAACTGCTGTGGAGAAACTGCTGTGGAGAAACTGCTGTGGAGAAACTGCTGTGGAGAAACTGCTGTGGAGAAACTGCTGTGGAGAAACTGCTGTGGAGAAACTGCTGTGGAGAAACTGCTGTGGAGAAACTGCTGTGGAGAAACTGCTGTGGAGAAACTGCTCTGGAGAAACTGCTGTGGAGAAACTGCTGTGGAGAAACTGCTGTGGAGAAACTGCTGTGGAGAAACTGCTGTGGAGAAACTGCTGTGGAGAAACTGCTGTGGAGAAACTGATGGGGAGAAACTGCTGTGGAGAAACTGATGGGGAGAAACTGCTGTGGAGAAACTGCTGTGGAGAAACTGCTGTGGAGAAACTGATGTGGAGAAACTGCTGTGGAGAAACTGCTGTGGAGAAACTGCTGTGGAGAAACTGCTGTGGAGAAACTGTTGTGGAGAAACTGCTCTGGAGAAACTGCTGTGGAGAAACTGCTGTGGAGAAACTGCTGTGGAGAAACTGCTGTGGAGAAACTGCTCTGGAGAAACTGCTGTGGAGAAACTGCTGTGGAGAAACTGCTGTGGAGAAACTGCTGTGGAGAAACTGCTGTGGAGAAACTGCTGTGGAGAAACTGCTGTGGAGAAACTGCTGGGGGAGAAACTGATGGGGGAGAAACTGATGGGGGAGAAACTGATGGGGGAGAAACTGATGGGGGAGAAACTGATGGGGAGAAACTGATGGGGGAGAAACTGATGGGGAGAAACTGATGGGGGAGAAACTGATGGGGAGAAACTGATGGGGGAGAAACTGATGGGGGAGAAACTGATGGGGGAGAAACTGATGGGGGAGAAACTGCTGTGGAGAAACTGATGGGGGAGAAACTGCTGTGGAGAAACTGATGGGGGAGAAACTGATGGAGAGAAACTGATGGGGGAGAAACTGATGGGGGAGAAACTGATGGGGGAGAAACTGATGGGGAGAAACTGATGGGGAGAAACTGATGGGGGAGAAACTGATGGGGGAGAAACTGATGGGGAGAAACTGATGGGGGAGAAACTGATGGGGGAGAAACTGATGGGGGAGAAACTGATGGGGGAGAAACTGATGGGGGAGAAACTGATGGGGGAGAAACTGATGGGGAGAAACTGCTGTGGAGAAACTGATGGGGGAGAAACTGCTGTGGAGAAACTGATGGGGGAGAAACTGCTGTGGAGAAACTGATGGTGGAGAAACTGCTGTGGAGAAACTGATGGGGGAGAAACTGCTGTGGAGAAACTGATGGGGGAGAAACTGCTGTGGAGAAACTGATGGGGGAGAAACTGATGGGGAGAAACTGATGGGGGAGAAACTGATGGGGGAGAAACTGATGGGGAGAAACTGCTGTGGAGAAACTGATGGGGGAGAAACTGCTGTGGAGAAACTGATGGGGGAGAAACTGCTGTGGAGAAACTGATGGGGGAGAAACTGATGGGGAGGGAGAAACTGATGGGGAGAAACTGATGGGGAGAAACTGATGGGGGAGAAACTGATGGGGGAGAAACTGATGGGGGAGAAACTGATGGGGGAGAAACTGATGGGGGAGAAACTGATGGGGGAGAAACTGATGGGGAGAAACTGATGGGGGAGAAACTGATGGGGGAGAAACTGATGGGGGAGAAACTGATGGGGGAGAAACTGATGGGGGAGAAACTGATGGGGAGAAACTGATGGGGAGAAACTGATGGGGAGAAACTGATGGGGAGAAACTGATGGGGGAGAAACTGATGGGGGAGAAACTGATGGGGAGAAACTGATGGGGGAGAAACTGATGGGGAGAAACTGATGGGGGAGAAACTGATGGGGAGAAACTGATGGGGGAGAAACTGATGGGGGAGAAACTGATGGGGGAGAAACTGATGGGGGAGAAACTGATGGGGAGAAACTGATGGGGGAGAAACTGATGGGGGAGAAACTGATGGGGGAGAAACTGATGGGGAGAAACTGATGGGGAGAAACTGATGGGGAGAAACTGATGGGGGAGAAACTGATGGGGGAGAAACTGATGGGGGAGAAACTGATGGGGGAGAAACTGATGGGGGAGAAACTGATGGGGGAGAAACTGATGGGGGAGAAACTGATGGGGAGAAACTGATGGGGGAGAAACTGATGGGGGAGAAACTGATGGGGGAGAAACTGATGGGGGAGAAACTGATGGGGAGAAACTGATGGGGGAGAAACTGATGGGGGAGAAACTGATGGGGGAGAAACTGATGGGGGAGAAACTGATGGGGGAGAAACTGATGGGGAGAAACTGATGGGGGAGAAACTGATGGGGGAGAAACTGATGGGGGAGAAACTGATGGGGGAGAAACTGATGGGGGAGAAACTGATGGGGGAGAAACTGATGGGGGAGAAACTGATGGGGGAGAAACTGATGGGGAGAAACTGATGGGGGAGAAACTGATGGGGAGAAACTGATGGGGGAGAAACTGATGGGGGAGAAACTGATGGGGAGAAACTGATGGGGGAGAAACTGATGGGGGAGAAACTGATGGGGGAGAAACTGATGGGGGAGAAACTGATGGGGAGAAACTGATGGGGGAGAAACTGATGGGGGAGAAACTGATGGGGGAGAAACTGATGGGGGAGAAACTGATGGGGAGAAACTGATGGGGGAGAAACTGATGGGGAGAAACTGATGGGGGAGAAACCTGATGGGGGAGAAACTGATGGGGGAGAAACTGATGGGGGAGAAACTGATGGGGGAGAAACTGATGGGGAGAAACTGATGGGGAGAAACTGATGGGGAGAAACTGATGGGGGAGAAACTGATGGGGGAGAAACTGATGGGGGAGAAACTGATGGGGAGAAACTGATGGGGAGAAACTGATGGGGAGAAACTGATGGGGAGAAACTGATGGGGGAGAAACTGATGGGGGAGAAACTGATGGGGGAGAAACTGATGGGGAGAAACTGATGGGGGAGAAACTGATGGGGAGAAACTGATGGGGGAGAAACTGATGGGGGAGAAACTGATGGGGGAGAAACTGATGGGGAGAAACTGATGGGGGAGAAACTGATGGGGGAGAAACTGATGGGGGAGAAACTGATGGGGGAGAAACTGATGGGGGAGAAACTGATGGGGAGAAACTGATGGGGGAGAAACTGATGGGGAGAAACTGATGGGGGAGAAACTGATGGGGAGAAACTGATGGGGGAGAAACTGATGGGGGAGAAACTGATGGGGGAGAAACTGATGGGGGAGAAACTGATGGGGGAGAAACTGATGGGGGAGAAACTGATGGGGGAGAAACTGATGGGGGAGAAACTGATGGGGAGAAACTGATGGGGGAGAAACTGATGGGGGAGAAACTGATGGGGGAGTAACTGATGGGGAGAAACTGATGGGGGAGAAACTGATGGGGAGAAACTGATGGGGGAGAAACTGATGGGGGAGAAACTGATGGGGGAGAAACTGATGGGGGAGAAACTGATGGGGAGAAACTGATGGGGGAGAAACTGATGGGGAGAAACTGATGGGGGAGAAACTGATGGGGAGAAACTGATGGGGGAGAAACTGATGGGGGAGAAACTGATGGGGGAGAAACTGATGGGGGAGAAACTGATGGGGAGAAACTGATGGGGAGAAACTGATGGGGGAGAAACTGATGGGGTAGAAACTGATGGGGGAGAAACTGATGGGGGAGAAACTGATGGGGAGAAAACTGATGGGGGAGAAACTGATGGGGGAGAAACTGATGGGGGAGAACCTGATGGGGGAGAAACTGATGGGGGAGAAACTGATGGGGGAGAAACTGATGGGGGAGAAACTGATGGGGAGAAACTGATGGGGAGAAACTGATGGGGGAGAAACTGATGGGGGAGAAAACTGATGGGGGAGAAACTGATGGGGGAGAAACTGATGGGGAGAAACTGATGGGGAGAAACTGATGGGGGAGAAACTGATGGGGAGAAACTGATGGGGGAGAAACTGATGGGGGAGAAACTGATGGGGGAGAAACTGATGGGGGAGAAACTGCTGTGGAGAAACTGATGGGGGAGAAACTGCTGTGGAGAAACTGATGGGGGAGAAACTGATGGAGAGAAACTGATGGGGGAGAAACTGATGGGGGAGAAACTGATGGGGGAGAAACTGATGGGGAGAAACTGATGGGGAGAAACTGATGGGGGAGAAACTGATGGGGGAGAAACTGATGGGGAGAAACTGATGGGGGAGAAACTGATGGGGGAGAAACTGATGGGGGAGAAACTGATGGGGGAGAAACTGATGGGGGAGAAACTGATGGGGGAGAAACTGATGGGGAGAAACTGCTGTGGAGAAACTGATGGGGGAGAAACTGCTGTGGAGAAACTGATGGGGGAGAAACTGCTGTGGAGAAACTGATGGTGGAGAAACTGCTGTGGAGAAACTGATGGGGGAGAAACTGCTGTGGAGAAACTGATGGGGGAGAAACTGCTGTGGAGAAACTGATGGGGGAGAAACTGATGGGGAGAAACTGATGGGGGAGAAACTGATGGGGGAGAAACTGATGGGGAGAAACTGCTGTGGAGAAACTGATGGGGGAGAAACTGCTGTGGAGAAACTGATGGGGGAGAAACTGCTGTGGAGAAACTGATGGGGGAGAAACTGATGGGGAGGGAGAAACTGATGGGGGAGAAACTGATGGGGAGAAACTGATGGGGGAGAAACTGATGGGGGAGAAACTGATGGGGGAGAAACTGATGGGGGAGAAACTGATGGGGGAGAAACTGATGGGGGAGAAACTGATGGGGAGAAACTGATGGGTGGAGAAACTGAATGGGGGAGAAACTGATGGGGGAGAAACTGATGGGGGAGAAACTGATGGGGAGAAACTGATGGGGAGAAATGATGGAAAACTGATGGGGGAGAAACTGATGGGGAAGAAACTGATGGGGAGAAACTGATGGGGGAGAAACTGATGGGGGAGAAACTGATGGGGGAGAAACTGATGGGGGAGAAACTGATGGGAGAAACTGATGGGGGAGAAACTGATGGGGGAGAAACTGATGGGGGAGAAACTGATGGGGAGAAACTGATGGGGGAGAAACTGATGGGGAGAAACTGATGGGGGAGAAACTGATGGGGGAGAAACTGATGGGGGAGAAACTGATGGGGGAGAAACTGATGGGGAGAAACTGATGGGGAGAAACTGATGGGGAGAAACTGATGGGGGAGAAACTGATGGGGGAGAAACTGATGGGGGAGAAACTGATGGGGGGAGAAACTGATGGGGGAGAAACTGATGGGGGGAGAAACTGATGGGGGAGAAACTGATGGGAAACTGATGGGGAGAAACTGATGGGGAGAAACTGATGGGGGAGAAACTGATGGGGGAGAAACTGCTGGGGGAGAAACTGATGGGGAGAAACTGATGGGGAGAACTGATGGGGGAAGAGAAAACTGATGGGGGAGAAACTGATGGGGGAGAACTGATGGGGGAGAAACTGATGGGGAGAAACTGATGGGGGAGAACCGGCATGGGGGAGAACTGATGGGGGAGAAACTGATGGGGAGAAACTGATGGGGGAGAAACTGATGGGGAGAAACTGATGGGGAGAAACTGATGGGGAGAAACTGATGGGGGAGAAACTGATGGGGGAGAAACTGATGGGGGAGAAACTGATGGGGGAGAAACTGATGGGGGAGAAACTGATGGGGAGAAACTGATGGGGAGAAACTGATGGGGAGAAACTGATGGGGGAGAAACTGATGGGGTAGAAACTGATGGGGGAGAAACTGATGGGGAGAAACTGATGGGGAGAAACTGATGGGGAGAAACTGATGGGGAGAAACTGATGGGGAGAACCTGATGGGGGAGAAACTGATGGGGGAGAAACTGATGGGGGAGAAACTGATGGGGGAGAAACTGATGGGAGAAACTGATGGGGAGAAACTGATGGGGGAGAAACTGATGGGGGAGAAACTGATGGGGGAGAAACTGATGGGGGAGAAACTGATGGGGAGAAACTGATGGAGAAACTGATGGGGAGAAACTGATGGGGGAGAAACTGATGGGGGAGAAACTGATGGGGGAGAAACTGATGGGGGAGAAACTGATGGGGAGAAACTGATGGGGAGAAACTGATGGGGGAGAAACTGATGGGGGAGAAACTGATGGGGGAGAAACTGATGGGGAGAAACTGATGGGGGAGAAACTGATGGGGGAGAAACTGATGGGGGAGAAACTGATGGGGGAGAAAACTGATGGGGGAGAAACTGATGGGGAGAAACTGATGGGGGAGAAACTGATGGGGAGAAACTGATGGGGGAGAAACTGATGGGGAGAAACTGATGGGGAGAAACTGATGGGGGAGAAACTGATGGGGGAGAAACTGATGGGGGAGAAACTGATGGGGGAGAAACTGATGGGGGAGAAACTGATGGGGGAGAAATGATGGGGGAGAAACTGATGGGGGAGAAACTGATGGGGAGAAACTGATGGGGGAGAAACTGATGGGGGAGAAACTGATGGGGGAGAAACTGATGGGGGAGAAACTGATGGGGGAGAAACTGATGGGGAGAAACTGATGGGGGAGAAACTGATGGGGGAGAAACTGATGGGGGAGAAACTGATGGGGGAGAAACTGATGGGGAGAAACTGATGGGGGAGAAACTGATGGGGAGAAACTGATGGGGGAGAAACTGATGGGGAGGAAACTGATGGGGGAGAAACTGATGGGGGAGAAACTGATGGGGGAGAAACTGATGGGGGAGAAACTGATGGGGAGAAACTGATGGGGAGAAACTGATGGGGGAGAAACTGATGGGGGAGAAACTGATGGGGGAGAAACTGATGGGGGAGAAACTGATGGGGGAGAAACTGATGGGGAGAAACTGATGGGGGAGAAACTGATGGGGGAGAAACTGATGGGGAGAAACTGATGGGGGAGAAACTGATGGGGGAGAAATGATTGGGGAGAAACTGATGGGGAGAAACTGAGGGGAGAAACTGATGGGGGAGAAACTGATGGGGGAGAAACTGATGGGGGAGAAACTGATGGGGGAGAAACTGATGGGGAGAAACTGATGGGGAGAAACTGATGGGGAGAAACTGATGGGGGAGAAACTGATGGGGGAGAAACTGATGGGGGAGAAACTGATGGGGAGAAACTGATGGGGGAGAAACTGATGGGGAGAAACTGATGGGGAGAAACTGATGGGGGAGAAACTGATGGGGGGAGAAACTGATGGGGAGAAACTGATGGGGGAGAAACTGATGGGGGAGAAACTGATGGGGGAGAAACTGATGGGGGAGAAACTGATGGGGGAGAAACTGATGGGGAGAAACTGATGGGGGAGAAACTGATGGGGAGAAACTGATGGGGGAGAAACTGATGGGGAGAAACTGATGGGGGAGAAACTGATGGGGGAGAAACTGATGGGGGAGAAACTGATGGGGGAGAAACTGATGGGGGAGAAACTGATGGGGGAGAAATTGATGGGGGAGAAACTGATGGGGGAGAAAACTGATGGGGAGAAACTGATGGGGGAGAAACTGATGGGGGAGAAACTGATGGGGGAGTAACTGATGGGGAGAAACTGATGGGGGAGAAACTGATGGGGAGAAACTGATGGGGGAGAAACTGATGGGGGAGAAACTGATGGGGGAGAAACTGATGGGGGAGAAACTGCTGTGGAGAAACTGATGGGGAGAAACTGATGGGGGAGAAAACTGATGGGGGAGAAAACTGATGGGGGAGAAACTGATGGGGGAGAAACTGATGGGGGAGAAACTGATGGGGGAGAAACTGATGGGGAGAAACTGATGGGGAGAAACTGATGGGGGAGAAACTGATGGGGGAGAAACTGATGGGGGAGAAACTGATGGGGGAGAAACTGATGGGGAGAAACTGATGGGGGAGAAACTGATGGGGAGAAACTGATGGGGGAGAAACTGATGGGGGAGAAACTGATGGGGGAGAAACTGATGGGGAGAAACTGATGGGAGAAACTGATGGGGAGAAACTGATGGGGGAGAAACTGATGGGGGAGAAACTGATGGGGGAGAAACTGATGGGGAGAAACTGATGGGGGAGAAACTGATGGGGGAGAAACTGATGGGGGAGAAACTGATGGGGGAGAAACTGATGGGGGAGAAACTGATGGGGAGAAACTGATGGGGAGAAACTGATGGGGGAGAAACTGATGGGGAGAAAACTGATGGGGGAGAAACTGATTGGGGAGAAACTGATGGGGAGAAACTGATGGGGGAGAAACTGATGGGGGAGAAACTGATGGGGGAGAAACTGATGGGGAGAAACTGATGGGGGAGAAACTGATGGGGGAGAAACTGATGGGGAGAAACTGATGGGGAGAAACTGATGGGGGAGAAACTGATGGGGGAGAAACTGATGGGGAGAAACTGATGGGGGAGAAACTGATGGGGAGAAACTGATGGGGGAGAAACTGATGGGGAGAAACTGATGGGGGAGAACTGATGGGGGAGAAACTGATGGGGGAGAAACTGATGGGGGAGAAACTGATGGGGGAGAAACTGATGGGGAGAAACTGATGGGGGAGAAACTGATGGGGGAGAAACTGATGGGGGAGAAACTGATGGGGGAGAAACTGATGGGGAGAAACTGATGGGGAGAAACTGATGGGGGAGAAACTGATGGGGGAGAAACTGATGGGGGAGAAACTGATGGGGAGAACTGAGGGGGGAGAAACTGATGGGGAGAAACTGATGAAGGGGGAGAAACTGATGGGGGAGAAACTGATGGGGGAGAAACTGATGGGGGAGAAACTGATGAGGGAGAAACTGATGGGGAGAAACTGATGGGGGAGAAACTGATGGGGAGAAACTGATGGGGGAGAAACTGATGGGGGAGAAACTGATGGGGGAGAAACTGATGGGGGAGAAACTGATGGGGAGAAACTGATGGGGGAGAAACTGATGGGGGAGAAACTGATGGGGGAGAAACTGATGGGGGAGAAACTGATGGGGGAGAAACTGATGGGGGAGAAACTGATGGGGGAGAAACTGATGGGGGAGAAACTGATGGGGGAGAAACTGATGGGGAGAAACTGATGGGGGAGAAACTGATGGGGGAGAAACTGATGGGGGAGAAACTGATGGGGGAGAAACTGATGGGGGAGAAACTGATGGGGAGAGAAACTGATGGGGAGAAACTGATGGGGGAGAAACTGATGGGGGAGAAACTGATGGGGGAGAAACTGATGGGGGAGAAATAACCTGATGGGGAGAAACTGATGGGGAGAAACTGATGGGGGAGAAACTGATGGGGAGAAACTGATGGGGAGAAACTGATGGGGGAGAAACCTGATGGGGGAGAAACTGATGGGGGAGAAACTGATGGGGGAGAAACCTGATGGGGGAGAAACTGATGGGGAGAAACTGATGGGGAGAAACTGATGGGGAGAAACTGATGGGGGAGAAACTGATGGGGGAGAAACTGATGGGGGAGAAACTGATGGGGAAAAAACTGATGGGGAGAAACTGATGGGGAGAAACTGATGGGGAGAAACTGATGGGGGGAGAAACTACTGATGGGGAGAAAATGATGGGGAGAAACTGATGGGGGAGAAACTGATGGGGGAGAAACTGATGGGGAGAAACTGATGGGGGAGAAACTGATGGGGAGAAACTGATGGGGAGAAACTGATGGGGGAGAAACTGATGGGGGAGAAACTGATGGGGGAGAAACTTGATGGGGGAGAACTGATGGGGAGAAACTGATGGGGAGAAACTGATGGGGGAGAAACTGATGGGGGAGAAACTGATGGGGGAGAAACTGATGGGGAGAAACTGATGGGGGAGAAACTGATGGGGGAGAAACTGATGGGGGAGAAACTGATGGGGAGAAACTGATGGGAGAAACTGATGGGGGAGAAACTGATGGGAGAAACTGATGGGGGAGAAACTGATGGGGGAGAAACTGATGGGGAGAAACTGATGGGGAGAAACTGATGGGGAAAACTGATGGGGGAGAAACTGATGGGGGAGAAACTGATGGGGGAGAAACTGATGGGGGAGAAACTGATGGGGGAGAAACTGATGGGGAGAAACTGATGGGGGAGAAACTGATGGGGGAGAAACTGATGGGGGAGAAACTGATGGGGAGAAACTGATGGGGGAGAAACTGATGGGGGGAGAAACTGATGGGGGAGAAACTGATGGGGGAGAAACTGATGGGGGAGAAAACTGATGGGGGAGAAACTGATGGGGGAGAAAACTGATGGGGGAGAAACTGATGGGGGAGAAACTGATGGGGGAGAAACTGATGGGGAGAAACTGATGGGGGAGAAACTGATGGGGAGAAACTGATGGGGGAGAAAACTGATGGGGAGAAACTGATGGGGAGAAACTGATGGGGGAAGAAACTGATGGGGGAGAAACTGATGGGGGAGAAACTGATGGGGAGAAACTGATGGGGGAGAAACTGATGGGGAGAAACTGATGGGGAGAAACTGATGGGGAGAACTGATGGGGAGAAACTGATGGGGGAGAAACTGATGGGGAGAAACTGATGGGGGAGAAACTGATGGGGGAGAAACTGATGGGGGAGAAACTGATGGGGGAGAAACTGATGGGGAGAAACTGATGGGGAGAAACTGATGGGGGAGAAACTGATGGGGGAGAAACTGATGGGGGAGAAACTGGGATGGGGGAGAAACTGATGGGGAGAAACTGATGGGGGAGAAACCTGATGGGGAGAAACTGATGGGGAGAAACTGATGGGGGAGAAACTGATGGGGGAGAAACTGATGGGGAGAAACTGATGGGGGAGAAACTGATGGGGGAGAAACTGATGGGGAGAAACTGATGGGGGAGAAACTGATGGGGGAGAAACTGATGGGGGAGAAACTGATGGGGAGAAACTGATGGGGAGAAACTGATGGGGGGAGAAACTGATGGGGGAGAAACTGATGGGGAGAAACTGATGGGGGAGAAACTGATGGGGGGAGAAACTGATGGGGGAGAAACTGATGGGGAGAAACTGATGGGGGAGAAACTGATGGGGGAGAAACTGATGGGGAGAAACTGATGGGGGAGAACTGATGGGGGAGAAACTGATGGGGAGAAACTGATGGGGGAGAAACTGATGGGGGAGAAACTGATGGGGGAGAAACTGATGGGGGAGAAACTGATGGGGGAGAAACTGATGGGGGAGAAACTGATGGGGGAGAAACTGATGGGGGAGAAACTGATGGGGAGAAACTGATGGGGAGAAACTGATGGGGAGAAACTGATGGGGGAGTAACTGATGGGGAGAAACTGATGGGGAGAAACTGATGGGGGAGAAACTGATGGGGAGAAACTGATGGGGGAGAAACTGATGGGGGAGAAACTGATGGGGGAGAAACTGATGGGGGAGAAACTGATGGGGGAGAAACTGTGGGGGAGAAACTGATGGGGGAAACTGATGGGGAGAAACTGATGGGGGAGAAATTGATGGGGGAGAAACTGATGGGGGAGAACTGATGGGGGAGAAACTGATGGGGAGAAACCATATGGGAGAAATTGATGGGGGAGAAACTGATGGGGGAGAAACTGATGGGGGAGAAACTGATGGGGAGAAACTGATGGGGGAGAAACTGATGGGGAGAAACTGATGGGTGAGAAACTGATGGGGGAGAAACTGATGGGGAGAAACTGATTGGGGGAGAAACTGATGGGGAGAAACTGATGGGGGAGAAACTGATGGGGAGAAAACTGATGGGGGGAGAAACTGATGGGGGAGAAACTGATGGGGAGAAACTGATGGGGGAGATAACTGATGGGGGAGAAAGAAAACAGATGGGGGAGAAACTGATGGGGAGAAACTGATGGGGGAGAAACTGATGGGGGAGAAACTGATGGGGAGAAACTGATGGGGGAGAAACTGATGGGGGAGAACTGATGGGGGAGAAACTGATGGGGGAGAAAACTGATGGGGAGAAACTGAATGGGGAGAAACTGATGGGGAGAAACTGATGGGGGAGAAACTGATGGGGAGAAAACTGATGGGGGAGAAACTGATGGGGAGAAACTGATGGGGGAGAAACTGATGGGGAGAAACTGATGGGGGAGAAACTGATGGGGGAGAAACTGATGGGGAGAAACTGATGGGGAGAAACTGATGGGGGAGAAACTGATGGGGGAGAAACTGATGGGGGAGAAAACTGATGGGGGAGAAACTGATGGGGGAGAAACTGATGGGGGAGAAACTGATGGGGAGAAACTGATGGGGGAGAAACTGATGGGGGAGAAACTGATGGGGGAGAAACTGATGGGGGAGAAACTGATGGGGAGAAACTGATGGGGGAGAAACTGATGGGGGAGAAACTGATGGGGGAGAAACTGATGGGGGAGAAACTGATGGGGAGAAACTGATGGGGAGAAACTGATGGGGAGAAACTGATGGGGGAGAAACTGATGGGGGAGAAACTGATGGGGGAGAAACTGATGGGGGAGAAACTGATGGGGAGAAACTGATGGGGGAGAAACTGATGGGGGAGAAACTGATGGGGGAGAAACTGATGGGGAGAAACTGATGGGGGAGAAACTGATGGGGGAGAACTGATGGGGAGAAACTGATGGGGAGAAACTGATGGGGGAGAAACTGATGGGGAGAAACTGATGGGGGAGAAACTGATGGGGGAGAAACTGATGGGGGAGAAACTGATGGGGGAGAAACTGATGGGGGAGAAACTGATGGGGGAGAAACTGATGGGGGAGAAACTGATGGGGGAGAAACTGATGGGGGAGAAACTGATGGGGAGAAACTGATGGGGGAGAAACTGATGGGGGAGAAACTGATGGGGGAGAAACTGATGGGGAGAAACTGATGGGGGAGAAACTGATGGGGGAGAAACTGATGGGGGAGAAACTGATGGGGAGAAACTGATGGGGGAGAAACTGATGGGGGAGAAACTGATGGGGGAGAAACTGATTGGGGGAGAAACTGATGGGGGAGAAACTGATGGGGGAGAAACTGATGGGGGAGAAACTGATGGGGGAGAAACTGATGGGGGAGAAACTGATGGGGGAGAAACTGATGGGGAGAAACTGATGGGGGGAGAAACTGATGGGGGGAGAAACTGATGGGGGAGAAACTGATGGGGGAGAAACTGATGGGGAGAAACTGATGGGAGAAACGATGGGAGAAACTGATGGGGGAGAAACTGATGGGGAGAAACTGATGGGGGAGAAACTGATGGGGAGAAACTGATGGGGGAGAAACTGATGGGGGAGAAACTGATGGGGAGAAACTGTGGGGAGAAACTGATGGGGGAGAAACTGATGGGGGGAGAAACTGATGGGGGAGAAACTGATGGGGGAGAAACTGATTGGGGAGAAACTGATGGGGAGAACTGATGGGGAGAAACTGATGGGGAGAAACTGATGGGGGAGAAACTGATGGGGGAGAAACTGATGGGGGAGAAACTGATGGGGGAGAAACTGATGGGGGAGAAACTGATGGGGGAGAAACTGATGGGGAGAAACTGATGGGGGAGAAACTGATGGGGGAGAAAACTGATGGGGGAGAAACTGATGGGGGAGAAACTGAGGGGAGAAACTGATGGGGAGAAACTGATGGGGGAGAAACTGATGGGGGAGAAACTGATGGGGGAGAAACTGATGGGGGAGAAACTGATGGGGGAGAAACTGATGGGGAGAAACTGATGGGGAGAAACTGATGGGGGAGAAACTGATGCGGAGAAACTGATGGGGAGAAACTGATGGGGGAGAAACTGATGGGGGAGAAACTGATGGGGGAGAAACTGATGGGGAGAAACTGCTGTGGAGAAATTGATGGGGGAGAAACTGATGGGGAGAAACTGATGGGGGAGAAACTGATGGGGAGAAACTGATGGGGGAGAACGATGGGGGAGAAACTGATGGGGGAGAAACTGATGGGGGAGAAACTGATGGGGAGAAACTGATGGGGGAGAAACTGATGGGGGAGAAACTGATGGGGGAGAAACTGATGGGGGAGAAACTGATGGGGGAGAAACTGATGGGGGAGAAACTGATGGGGAGAAACTGATGGGGAGAAACTGATGGGGGAGAAACTGATGGGGGAGAAACTGATGGGGAGAAACTGATGGGGAGAAACTGATGGGGGAGAAACTGATGGGGGAGAAACTGATGGGGGAGAAACTGATGGGGGAGAAACTGATGGGGAGAAACTGATGTGGAGAAACTGATGGGGGAGAAACTGATGGGGAGAAACTGCTGTGGAGAAACTGATGGGGGAGAAACTGATGGGGGAGAAACTGATGGGAGAAACTGATGGGGAGAAACTGATGGGGAGAAACTGATGGGGGAGAAACTGATGGGGAGAAACTGATGGGGGAGAAACTGATGGGGGAGAAACTGATGGGGGAGAAAACTGATGGGGGAGAAACTGATGGGGGAGAACTGATGGGGGAGAAAACTGATGGGGGAGAAACTGATGGGGGAGAAACTGATGGGGAGAAACTGATGGGGGAGAAACTGATGGGAGAAACTGATGGGGAGAACTGATGGGGAGAAACTGATGGGGAGAAACTGATGGGGAGAAACTGAAACTGATGGGGAGAAACTGATGGGGAGAAAACTGATGGGGGAGAAACTGGATGGGGAGAAACTGATGGGGGAGAAACTGATGGGGGAGAAAACTGATGGGGGAGAAACTGATGGGGGAGAAAACATAGATGGGGGAGAAACTGATGGGGAGAAACTGATGGGGGAGAAACTGATGGGGGAGAAACTGATGGGGGAGAAACTGATGGGGGAGAAACTGATGGGGAGAAACTGATGGGGGAGAAACTGATGGGGGAGAAACTGATGGGGAGAAACTGATGGGGGAGAAACTGATGGGGAGTAAACTGATGGGGGAGAAACTGATGGGGGGAGAAACTGATGGGGGAGAAACTGATGGGGGAGAAACTGAGGGGTGAGAACTGATGGGGGAGAAACTGATGGGGGAGAAACTTGGGGGAGAACACTGATGGGGGAGAAACTGATGGGGAGAAACTGATGGGGGAGAAACTGATGGGGGAGAAACTGATGGGGGAGAAAACTGATGGGGGAGAAACTGATGGGGAGAAACTGATGGGGGAGAAACTGATGGGGAGAAACTGATGGGGGAGAAACTGATGGGGAGAAACTGATGGGGAGAACTGATGGGGAGACAACTGATGGGGGAAGAAACTGATGGGGGAGAAACTGATGGGGGAGAAACTGATGGGGAGAAACTGATGGGGAGAAACTGATGGGGAGAAACTGATGGGGGAGAAACTGATGGGGAGAAACTGATGGGGGAGAAACTGATGGGGAGAAACTGATGGGGGAGAAACTGATGGGGGAGAACTGATGGGGGAGAAAACTGATGGGGGAGAAACTGATGGGGGAGAAACTGATGGGGGAGAAACTGATGGGGGAGAAACTGATGGGGGAGAAACTGATGGGGAGAAAACTGATGGGGAGAAACTGATGGGGAGGAAACCTGATGGGGGAGAAACTGATGGGGGAGAAACTGATGGGGGAGAAACTGATGGGGGAGAAAATGATGGGGGAGAAAACTGATGGGGGAGAAACTGATGGGGGAGAAACTGATGGGGAGAAACTGATGGGGGAGAAACTGATGGGGGAGAAACTGATGGGGGAGAAACTGATGGGGGAGAACTGATGGGGGAGAAAACTGATGGGGGAGAAACTGATGGGGAGAAACTGATGGGGGAGAAACTGATGGGGAGAAACTGATGGGGGAGAAACTGATGGGGGAGAAACTGATGGGGGAGAAACTGATGGGGGAGAAACTGATGGGGAGAAACTGATGGGGGAGAAACTGATGGGGGAGAAACTGATGGGGGAGAAACTGATGGGGGAGAAACTGATGGGGAGAAACTGATTGGGGAGAAACTGATGGGGGAGAAACTGATGGGGGAGAAACTGATGGGGGAGAAACTGATGGGGGAGAAACTGATGGGGGAGAAACTGATGGGGGAGAAACTGATGGGGGAGAAACTGATGGGGGAGAAACTGATGGGGGAGAAACTGATGGGGGAGAAACTGATGGGGGAGAAACTGATGGGGGAGAAACTGATGGGGAGAAACTGATGGGGGAGAAACTGATGGGGGAGAAACTGATGGGGGAGAAACTGATGGGGGAGAAACTGATGGGGAGAAATTGATGGGGAGAAACTGATGGGGGAGAAACTGATGGGGAGAAACTGGATGGGGGAGAACTGATGGGGAGAAACTGATGGGGGAGAAACCGATGGGGGAGAAACCGATGGGGGAGAAACCGATGGGGGAGAAACTGAAACTGATGGGGGAGAAACTGATGGGGAGAAACTGATGGGGGAGAAACTGATGGGGGAGAAACTGATGGGGGAGAAACTGATGGGGAGAAACTGATGGGGGAGAAACTGATGGGGGAGAAACTGATGGGGAGAAACTGATGGGGGAGAAACTGATGGGGGAGAAACTGATGGGGGAGAAACTGATGGGGGAGAAACTGATGGGGGAGAAACTGATGGGGGAGAAACTGATGGGGGAGAAACTGATGGGGGAGAAATTGATGGGGAGAAACTGATGGGGGAGAAACTGATGGGGGAGAAACTGATGGGGAGAAACTGATGGGGGAGAAACTGATGGGGGAGAAACCGATGGGGGAGAAACCGATGGGGGGAGAAACCGATGGGGGAGAAACTGAAACTGATGGGGGAGAAACTGATGGGGGAGAAACTGATGGGGGAGAAACTGATGGGGGAGAAACTGATGGGGGAGAAACTGATGGGGAGAAACTGATGGGGGAGAAACTGATGGGGGAGAAACTGATGGGGAGAAACTGATGGGGGAGAAACTGATGGGGGAGAAACTGATGGGGGAGAAACTGATGGGGGAGAAACTGATGGGGGAGAAACTGATGGGGGAGAAACTGATGGGGAGAAACTGATGGGGGAGAAACTGATGGGGGAGAAACTGATGGGGAGAAACTGATGGGGGAGAAACTGATGGGGAGAAACTGATGGGGGAGAAACTGATGGGGGAGAAACTGATGGGGGAGAAACTGATGGGGGAGAAACTGATGGGGGAGAAACTGATGGGGGAGAAACTGATGGGGAGAAACTGATGGGGGAGAAACTGATGGGGGAGAAACTGATGGGGAGAAAACTGATGGGGGAGAAACTGATGGGGAGAAACTGATTGGGGAGAAACTGATGGGGGAGAAACTGATGGGGGAGAAACTGATGGGGGAGAAACTGATGGGGGAGAAAACTGATGGGGGAGAAACTGATGGGGGAGAAAACTGATGGGGGAGAAACTGATGGGGGAGAAACTGATGGGGAGAAACTGATGGGGGAGAAACTGATGGGGGAGAAACTGATGGGGGAGAAACTGATGGGGGAGAAACTGATGGGGGAGAAACTGATGGGGAGAAACTGATGGGGGAGAAACTGATGGGGGAGAAACTGATGGGGGAGAAACTGATGGGGAGAAACTGATGGGGGAAGAAACTGATGGGGGAGAAACTGATGGGGGAGAAACTGATGGGGGAGAAACTGATGGGGGAGAAACTGATGGGGAGAAACTGATGGGGAGAAACTGATGGGGGAGAAACTGATGGGGGAGAAACTGATGGGGGAGAAACTGATGGGGAGAAACTGATGGGGAGAAACTGATGGGGGAGAAACTGATGGGGGAGAAACTGATGGGGGAGAAACTGATGGGGGAGAAACTGATGGGGAGAAATTGATGGGGAGAAACTGATGGGGGAGAACTGATGGGGGAGAAACTGATGGGGGAGAAACTGATGGGGGAGAAACTGATGGGGGAGAAACCGATGGGGGAGAAACCGATGGGGGAGAAACCGATGGGGGAGAAACTGAAACTGATGGGGGAGAAACTGATGGGGGAGAAACTGATGGGGGAGAAACTGATGGGGGAGAAACTGATGGGGGAGAAACTGATGGGGGAGAAACTGATGGGGGAGAAACTGATGGGGGAGAAACTGATGGGGAGAAACTGATGGGGGAGAAACTGATGGGGGAGAAACTGATGGGGGAGAAACTGATGGGGGAGAAACTGATGGGGGAGAAACTGATGGGGAGAAACTGATGGGGGAGAAACTGATGGGGGAGAAACTGATGGGGGAGAAACTGATGGGGGAGAAACTGATGGGGGAGAAACTGATGGGGGAGAAACTGATGGGGGAGAAACTGATGGGGGAGAAACTGATGGGGAGAAACTGATGGGGAGAAACTGATGGGGAGAAACTGATGGGGGAGAAACTGATGGGGGAGAAACTGATGGGGGAGAAACTGATGGGGGAGAAACCTGATGGGGGAGAAACCGATTGGGGGAGAAACCGATGGGGGAGAAACCGATGGGGGAGAAACTGATGGGGGAGAAACTGATGGGGGAGAACTGATGGGGGAGAAACTGATGGGGGAGAAACTGATGGGGGAGAAACTGATGGGGGAGAAACTGATGGGGGAGAAACTGATGGGGGAGAAACTGATGGGGGAGAAACTGATGGGGGAGAAACTGATGGGGGAGAAACTGATGGGGAGAAACTGATGGGGGAGAAACTGATGGGGGAGAAACTGATGGGGGAGAAACTGATGGGGGAGAAACTGAATGGGGGAGAAACTGATGGGGAGAAACTGATGGGGAGAAACTGATGGGGAGAAACTGATGGGGGAGAAACTGATGGGGAGAAACTGATGGGGGAGAAACTGATGGGGGAGAAACTGATGGGGGAGAAACTGATGGGGGAGAAACTGATGGGGGAGAAACTGATGGGGAGAAACTGATGGGGAGAAACTGATGGGGAGAAACTGATGGGGGAGAAACTGATGGGGGAGAAACTGATGGGGGAGAAACTGATGGGGGAGAAACTGATGGGGGAGAAACTGATGGGGGAGAAACCGATGGGGGAGAAACCGATGGGGGAGAAACTGAAACTGATGGGGAGAAACTGATGGGGGAGAAACTGATGGGGAGAAACTGATGGGGGAGAAACTGATGGGGGAGAAACTGATGGGGGAGAAAACTGATGGGGGAGAAACTGATGGGGGAGAAACTGATGGGGAGAAACTGATGGGGAGAAACTGATGGGGGAGAAACTGATGGGGGAGAAACTGATGGGGGAGAAACTGATGGGGGAGAAACCGATGGGGGAGAAACCGATGGGGGAGAAACCGATGGGGGAGAAACTGAAACTGATGGGGAGAAACTGATGGGGGAGAAACTGATGGGGAGAAACTGATGGGGAGAAACTGCTGTGGAGAAACTGATGGGGGAGAAACTGATGGGGGAGAAACTGATGGGGGAGAAACTGATGGGGGAGAAACTGATGGGGGAGAAACCGATGGGGGAGAAACTGATGGGGAGAAACTGATGGGGAGAAACTGATGGGGGAGAAACTGATGGGGGAGAAACTGATGGGGGAGAAACTGATGGGGGAGAAACTGATGGGGAGAAACTGATGGGGGAGAAACTGATGGGGGAGAAACTGATGGGGGAGAAACTGATGGGGGAGAAACTGATGGGGAGAAATTGATGGGGAGAAACTGATGGGGGAGAAACTGATGGGGGAGAAACTGATGGGGGAGAAACTGATGGGGGAGAAACTGATGGGGGAGAAACCGATGGGGGAGAAACCGATGGGGGAGAAACCGATGGGGGAGAAACTGAAACTGATGGGGGAGAAACTGATGGGGGAGAAACTGATGGGGGAGAAACTGATGGGGGAGAAACTGATGGGGGAGAAACTGATGGGGAGAAACTGATGGGGGAGAAACTGATGGGGGAGAAACTGATGGGGAGAAACTGATGGGGGAGAAACTGATGGGGGAGAAACTGATGGGGGAGAAACTGATGGGGGAGAAACTGATGGGGGAGAAACTGATGGGGGAGAAACTGATGGGGGAGAAACTGATGGGGGAGAAATTGATGGGGAGAAACTGATGGGGGAGAAACTGATGGGGGAGAAACTGATGGGGGAGAAAACTGATGGGGGAGAAACTGATGGGGGAGAAACCGATGGGGGAGAAACCGATGGGGGAGAAACCGATGGGGGAGAACTGAAACTGATGGGGGGAGAAACTGATGGGGGAGAAACTGATGGGGAGAAACTGATGGGGGAGAAACTGATGGGGGAGAAACTGATGGGGAGAAACTGATGGGGGAGAAACTGATGGGGGAGAAACTGATGGGGGAGAAACTGATGGGGAGAAACTGAATGGGGGAGAAACTGATGGGGGAGAAACTGATGGGGGAGAAACTGATGGGGGAGAAACTGATGGGGGAGAAACTGATGGGGGAGAAAACTGATGGGGAGAAACTGATGGGGGAGAAACTGATGGGGGAGAAACTGATGGGGGAGAAACTGATGGGGGAGAAACTGATGGGGAGAAAACTGATGGGGGAGAAAACTGATGGGGGAGAAACTGATGGGGAGAAACTGATGGGGAGAACTGATGGGGGAGAAACTGATGGGGAGAAACTGATGGGGGAGAAACTGATGGGGAGAAACTGATGGGGGAGAAACTGATGGGGGAGAAACTGATGGGGAGAAACCTGATGGGGGAGAAACTGATGGGGGAGAAACTGATTGGGGAGAAAACTGATGGGGGAGAAAACTGATGGGGAGAAACTGATGGGGGAGAAACTGATGGGGGAGAAACTGATGGGGGAGAAACTGATGGGGGAGAAACTGATGGGGGAGAAACTGATGGGGGAGAAACTGATGGGGAGAAACTGATGGGGGAGAAACTGATGGGGGAGAAACTGATGGGGGAGAAACTGATGGGGGAGAAAACTGATGGGGGAGAAACTGATGGGGGAGAAACTGATGGGGGAGAAACTGATGGGGGAGAAACTGATGGGGGAGAAAAGATGGAGAAACTGATGGGGAGAAACTGATGGGGAGAAACTGATGGGGGAGAAACTGATGGGGGAGAAACTGATGGGGGAGAAACTGATGGGGGAGAAACTGATGGGGAGAAACTGATGGGGAGAAACTGATGGGGGAGAAACTGATGGGGGAGAAACTGATGGGGGAGAAACTGATGGGGAGAAACTGATGGGGAGAAACTGATGGGGAGAAACTGATGGGGGAGAAACTGATGGGGGAGAAACTGATGGGGGAGAAACTGATGGGGGAGAAACTGATGGGGAGAAATTGATGGGGAGAAACTGATGGGGGAGAAACTGATGGGGGAGAAACTGATGGGGGAGAAACTGATGGGGGAGAAACTGATGGGGGAGAAACCGATGGGGGAGAAACCGATGGGGGAGAAAACCGATGGGGGAGAAACTGAAACTGATGGGGGAGAAACTGATGGGGGAGAAACTGATGGGGGAGAAACTGATGGGGGAGAAACTGATGGGGGAGAAACTGATGGGGGAGAAACTGATGGGGAGAAACTGATGGGGGAGAAACTGATGGGGGAGAAACTGATGGGGAGAAACTGATGGGGGAGAAACTGATGGGGGAGAAACTGATGGGGGAGAAACTGATGGGGGAGAAACTGATGGGGGAGAAACTGATGGGGGAGAAACTGATGGGGGAGAAACTGATGGGGGAGAAACCGATGGGGGAGAAACTGATGGGGGAGAAACTGATGGGGGAGAAACTGATGGGGGAGAAACTGATAGCGGAGAAACTGATGGGGAGAAACTGATGGGGAGAAACTGATGGGGGAGAAACTGATGGGGGAGAAACTGATGGGGGAGAAACTGATGGGGGAGAAACTGATGGGGGAGAAACCGATGGGGGAGAAACCGATGGGGGAGAAACCGATGGGGGAGAAACCGATGGGGGAGAAACTGAAACTGATGGGGGAGAAACTGATGGGGGAGAAACTGATGGGGAGAAACTGATGGGGGAGAAACTGATGGGGGAGAAACTGATGGGGGAGAAACTGATGGGGGAGAAACTGATGGGGGAGAAACTGATGGGGAGAAACTGATGGGGGAGAAACTGATGGGGGAGAAACTGATGGGGAGAAACTGATGGGGGAGAAACTGATGGGGGAGAAACTGATGGGGGAGAAACTGATGGGGGAGAAACTAATGGGGGAGAAACTGATGGGGAGAAACTGATGGGGAGAAACTGATGGGTAGAAACTGATGGGGGAGAAACTGATGGGGAGAAACTGATGGGGGAGAAACTGATGGGGGAGAAACTGATGGGGGAGAAACTGATGGGGGAGAAACTGATGGGGGAGAAACTGATGGGGAGAAACTGATGGGGAGAAACTGATGGGGAGAAACTGATGGGGGAGAAACTGATGGGGGAGAAACTGATGGGGGAGAAACTGATGGGGGAGAAACTGATGGGGGAGAAACCGATGGGGAGAAACCGATGGGGGAGAACCGATGAACTGAAACTGATGGGGGAGAAACTGATGGGGGAGAAACTGATGGGGAGAAACTGATGGGGGAGAAACTGATGGGGGAGAAACTGATGGGGGAGAAACTGATGGGGGAGAAACTGATGGGGGAGAAACTGATGGGGAGAAACTGATGGGGAGAAACTGATGGGGGAGAAACTGATGGGGGAGAAACTGATGGGGAGAAACTGATGGGGGAGAAACCGATGGGGGAGAAACCGATGGGGGAGAAACCGATGGGGGAGAAACTGAAACTGATGGGGGAGAAACTGATGGGGGAGAAACTGATGGGGAGAAACTGATGGGGAGAAACTGCTGTGGAGAAACTGATGGGGGAGAAACTGATGGGGGAGAAACTGATGGGGAGAAACTGATGGGGGAGAAACTGATGGGAGAGAAACTGATGGGGGAGAAACTGATGGGGGAGAAACTGATGGGGGAGAAACCGATGGGGGAGAAAACCGATGGGGAGAAACCGATGGGGGAGAAAGTGAAACTGATGGGGGAGAAACTGATGGGGGAGAAACTGATGGGGAGAAACTGATGGGGAGAAACTGCTGTGGAGAAACTGATGGGGGAGAAACTGATGGGGGAGAAACTGATGGGGAGAAACTGATGGGGGAGAAACTGATGGGGGAGAAACTGATGGGGGAGAAACTGATGGGGGAGAAACTGATGGGGGAGAAACTGATGGGGGAGAAACTGATGGGGGAGAAACTGATGGGGGAGAAACTGATGGGGGAGAAACCGATGGGGGAGAAACCGATGGGGGAGAAACTGAAACTGATGGGGGAGAAACTGATGGGGGAGAAACTGATGGGGAGAAACTGATGGGGGAGAAACTGATGGGGGAGAAACTGATGGGGGAGAAACTGATGGGGGAGAAACTGATGGGGGAGAAACTGATGGGGAGAAACTGATGGGGAGAAACTGATGGGGAGAAACTGATGGGGGAGAAACTGATGGGGAGAAACTGATGGGGGAGAAACTGATGGGGGAGAAACTGATGGGGAGAAACTGATGGGGAGAAACTGATGGGGGAGAAACCGATGGGGGAGAAACTGATGGGGAGAAACTGATGGGGAGAAACTGATGGGGGAGAAACTGATGGGGGAGAAACTGATGGGGGAGAAACTGATGGGGGAGAAACTGATGGGGGAGAAACCGATGGGGGAGAAACCGATGGGGGAGAAACCGATGGGGGAGAAACCGATGGGGGAGAAACTGAGGGGGAGAAACTGATGGGGGAGAAACTGATGGGGGAGAAACTGATGGGGAGAAACTGATGTGGAGAAACTGATGGGGGAGAAACTGATGGGGAGAAACTGATGGGGGAGAAACTGATGGGGGAGAAACTGATGGGGGAGAAACTGATGGGGAGAAACTGATGGGGGAGAAACTGATGGGGGAGAAACTGATGGGGGAGAAACTGATGGGGAGAAACTGATGGGGGAGAAACTGATGGGGAGAAACTGATGGGGGAGAAACTGATGGGGAGAAACTGATGGGGGAGAAACTGATGGGGGAGAAACTGATGGGGGAGAAACTGATGGGGGAGAAACTGATGGGGAGAAACTGATGGGGAGAAACTGATGGGGAGAAACTGATGGGGGAGAAACTGATGGGGGAGAAACTGATGGGGGAGAAACTGATGGGGGAGAAACTGATGGGGGAGAAACTGATGGGGGAGAAACCGATGGGGGAGAAACCGATGGGGGAGAAACTGAAACTGATGGGGGAGAAACTGATGGGGGAGAAACTGATGGGGAGAAACTGATGGGGGAGAAACTGATGGGGGAGAAACTGATGGGGGAGAAACTGATGGGGGAGAAACTGATGGGGGAGAAACTGATGGGGGAGAAACTGATGGGGGAGAAACTGATGGGGGAGAAACCGATGGGGGAGAAACCGATGGGGGAGAAACCGATGGGGGAGAAACTGAAACTGATGGGGGAGAAACTGATGGGGGAGAACTGAGAAACTGATGGGGAGAAACTGATGGGGAGAAACTGATGGGGGAGAAACCGATGGGGGAGAAACCGATGGGGGAGAAACCGATGGGGGAGAAACTGAAACTGATGGGGGAGAAACTGATGGGGGAGAAACTGATGGGGAGAAACTGATGGGGGAGAAACTGATGGGGGAGAAACTGATGGGGGAGAAACTGATGGGGGAGAAACTGATGGGGGAGAAACTGATGGGGAGAAACTGATGGGGAGAAACTGATGGGGGAGAAACTGATGGGGGAGAAACTGATGGGGGAGAAACTGATGGGGGAGAAACCGATGGGGGAGAAACCGATGGGGGAGAAACCGATGGGGGAGAAACTGAAACTGATGGGGGAGAAACTGATGGGGGAGAAACTGATGGGGAGAAACTGATGGGGAGAAACTGCTGTGGAGAAACTGATGGGGGAGAAACTGATGGGGGAGAAACTGATGGGGGAGAAACTGATGGGGGAGAAACTGATGGGGGAGAAACTGATGGGGGAGAAACTGATGGGGAGAAACTGATGGGGAGAAACTGATGGGGAGAAACTGATGGGGAGAAACTGATGGGGGAGAAACTGATGGGGGAGAAACTGATGGGGGAGAAACTGATGGGGGAGAAACCGATGGGGGAGAAACCGATGGGGGAGAAACCGATGGGGGAGAAAGTGAAACTGATGGGGGAGAAACTGATGGGGGAGAAACTGATGGGGAGAAACTGATGGGGAGAAACTGCTGTGGAGAAACTGATGGGGGAGAAACTGATGGGGGAGAAACTGATGGGGAGAAACTGATGGGGGAGAAACTGATGGGGGAGAAACTGATGGGGGAGAAACTGATGGGGGAGAAACTGATGGGGGAGAAACTGATGGGGGAGAAACTGATGGGGGAGAAACTGATGGGGGAGAAACTGATGGGGGAGAAACCGATGGGGGAGAAACCGATGGGGGAGAAACTGAAACTGATGGGGGAGAAACTGATGGGGGAGAAACTGATGGGGAGAAACTGATGGGGGAGAAACTGATGGGGGAGAAACTGATGGGGGAGAAACTGATGGGGGAGAAACTGATGGGGGAGAAACTGATGGGGAGAAACTGATGGGGAGAAACTGATGGGGAGAAACTGATGGGGGAGAAACTGATGGGGAGAAACTGATGGGGAGAAACTGATGGGGGAGAAACTGATGGGGGAGAAACTGATGGGGGAGAAACTGATAGCGGAGAAACTGATGGGGAGAAACTGATGGGGAGAAACTGATGGGGAGAAACTGATGGGGGAGAAACTGATGGGGGAGAAACTGATGGGGGAGAAACTGATGGGGGAGAAACCGATGGGGGAGAAACGATGGGGGAGAAACCGATGGGGGAGAGAAACGATGGGGAGAAACTGATGGGGGAGAAACTGATGGGGGAGAAACTGATGGGGGAGAAACTGATGGGGAGAAACTGATGGGGGAGAAACTGATGGGGGAGAAACTGATGGGGGAGAAACTGATGGGGGAGAAACTGATGGGGAGAAACTGATGGGGGAGAAACTGATGGGGGAGAAACTGATGGGGGAGAAACTGATGGGGGAGAAACTGATGGGGGAGAAACTGATGGGGGAGAAACTGATGGGGGAGAAACTGATGGGGGAGAAACTGATGGGGAGAAACTGATGGGGGAGAAACTGATGGGGAGAAACTGATGGGGAGAAACTGATGGGGAGAAACTGATGGGGGAGAAACTGATGGGGGAGAAACTGATGGGGGAGAAACTGATGGGGGAGAAACTGATGGGGGAGAAACTGATGGGGAGAAACTGATGGGGAGAAACTGATGGGGAGAAACTGATGGGGGAGAAACTGATGGGGGAGAAACTGATGGGGGAGAAACTGATGGGGGAGAAACTGATGGGGGAGAAACTGATGGGGGAGAAACCGATGGGGGAGAAACCGATGGGGGAGAAACTGAAACTGATGGGGGAGAAACTGATGGGGGAGAAACTGATGGGGAGAAACTGATGGGGAGAAACTGATGGGGGAGAAACTGATGGGGGAGAAACTGATGGGGGAGAAACTGATGGGGGAGAAACTGATGGGGGAGAAACTGATGGGGGAGAACTGATGGGGGAGAAACTGATGGGGGAGAAACTGATGGGGGAGAAACTGATGGGGGAGAAACCGATGGGGGAGAAACCGATGGGGGAGAAACCGATGGGGGAGAAACTGAAACTGATGGGGGAGAAACTGATGGGGGAGAAACTGATGGGGAGAAACTGATGGGGAGAAACTGCTGTGGAGAAACTGATGGGGGAGAAACTGATGGGGGAGAAACTGATGGGGAGAAACTGATGGGGGAGAAACTGATGGGGGAGAAACTGATGGGGGAGAAACTAATGGGGGAGAAACTGATGGGGGAGAAACTGATGGGGAGAAACTGATGGGGGAGAAACTGATGGGGAGAAACTGATGGGGGAGAAACTGATGGGGGAGAAACTGATGGGGGAGAAACCGATGGGGGAGAAACCGATGGGGAGAAACTGATGGGGAGAAACTGATGGGGGAGAAACTGATGGGGGAGAAACTGATGGGGGAGAAACTGATGGGGGAGAAACCGATGGGGGAGAAACCGATGGGGGAGAAACCGATGGGGGAGAAACCGATGGGGGAGAAACTGATGGGGGAGAAACTGATGGGGGAGAAACTGATGGGGAGAAACTGATGGGGAGAAACTGCTGTGGAGAAACTGATGGGGAGAAACTGATGGGGGAGAAACTGATGGGGGAGAAACTGATGGGGGAGAAACTGATGGGGGAGAAACTGATGGGGGAGAAACTGATGGGGGAGAAACTGATGGGGAGAAACTGATGGGGGAGAAACTGATGGGGAGAAACTGATGGGGGAGAAACTGATGGGGGAGAAACTGATGGGGGAGAAACTGATGGGGGAGAAACTGATGGGGGAGAAACTGATGGGGGAGAAACTGATGGGGAGAAACTGATGGGGGAGAAACTGATGGGGGAGAAACTGATGGGGGAGAAACTGATGGGGGAGAAACTGATGGGGGAGAAACTGATGGGGGAGAAACTGATGGGGAGAAACTGATGGGGAGAAACTGATGGGGGAGAAACTGATGGGGAGAAACTGATGGGGGAGAAACTGATGGGGGAGAAACTGATGGGGGAGAAACTGATGGGGGAGAAACTGATGGGGGAGAAACTGATGGGGAGAAACTGATGGGGGAGAAACCTGATGGGGGAGAAACTGATGGGGAGAAACTGATGGGGAGAAACTGATGGGGAGAAACTGATGGGGGAGAAAACTGATGGGGAGAAACCGATGGGGGAGAAACCGATGGGGGGAGAAACCGATGGGGGAGAAACTGATGGGGAGAGAAACTGATGGGGGAGAAACTGATGGGGGAGAAACTGATGGGGGAGAAACTGATGGGGAGAAACTGATGGGGGAGAAACTGATGGGGGAGAAACTGATGGGGGAGAAACTGATGGGGGAGAAACTGATGGGGAGAAACTGATGGGGAGAAACTGATGGGGAGAAACTGATGGGGGAGAAACTGATGGGGGAGAAACTGATGGGGGAGAAACCGATGGGGGAGAAACCGATGGGGGAGAAACTGATGGGGGAGAAACTGATGGGGGAGAAACTGATGGGAGAGAAACTGATGTGGAGAAACTGATGGGGGAGAAACTGATGGGGGAGAAACTGATGGGTGGAAACTGATGGGGGAGAAACTGATGGGGAGAAACTGATGGGGGAGAAATTGATGGGGGGAAACTGATGGGGGGGAAACTGATGGGGGGAAACTGATGGGGGAGAAACTGATGGGGGAGAAACTGATGGGGGAGAAACTGATGGGAGAGAAACTGATGTGGAGAAACTGATGGGGGAGAAACTGATGGGGGAGAAACTGATGGGTGGAAACTGATGGGGGAGAAACTGATGGGGAGAAACTGATGGGGGAGAAATTGATGGGGGGAAACTGATGGGGGGGAAACTGATGGGGGGAAACTGATGGGGGAGAAACTGATGGGGGAGAAACTGATGGGGGAGAAACTGATGGGGGAGAAACTGATGGAGGAGCGCACGCTGTGGCAGGTGCCCGAGGTGTACATGACAATGAGCCCCTTCCTGGCGGCGGACCGCATCAAGTCGCCCATCCTGCTCGTGCACGGCCAGGACGACAACAACACCGGCACCTTCCCCATGCAGGTCAGGGCTCCATGGCACCTTCCCCATGCAGGTCAGGGCTCCATGGCACCTTCCCCATGCAGGTCAGGGCTCCATGGCATGAGCGTGGTGGAAGGGGATGGCGTGGGTGGTCAGGACGTGGGTGGTAAGGATCTGTATGGTGAGGGAATGTATGGTGAGGACATGTATGGTTAGTGCATGTATGGTTAGTGCATGTATGGTTAGTGCATGTATGGTTAGTGCATGTATGGTTAGTGCATGTATGGTTAGTGCATGTATGGTTAGTGCATGTGTGGTTACTGCATGTATGGTTAGGGCATGTATAGTTAGGGCTTGTCCGGTAAGGCATGTATGGTGCTTGCATGATGTTCTGCAGGGTGTACGTGTATGGAGGACGCTCACGCACATGGTTCTGGCTGCTGGCTGCATGGTATGGTGTTGAGAACTCGCATCACGTTCACGCGTGTGTGGCATCAAGGCTTCCACAGCCCCTTTGGATCAACTCTTTTATCACCCTTGTTGCCCTCACCCCAACACCTTCACCCGTTACCCAATCAGACGGAACGTTTCTTTGCAGCACTCAAGGGCCATGGTGTGACCACCCGCATGGTGCTGTTACCTCACGAGGGGCATGGTTACCGCGCGCGTGAGTCGCTGTTACACTTGCTTGCTGAGCAGTCCAACTGGCTTGACAGATATTGCAAGAACCGGCCTGCACCACCACCAGGTGATAAGGCGAATGAAGCAGGAGGTAGTGCTGCAGCAAAGACAAACGAGCCAGTGGGAGCTGCAGTGGAGGGGGCTAAGGAAGAGGATGGCCATGAGCATGATGGGTCATGGTTAAGGGCATCCCTATGAACTGGGAGCACAGGTGAACCAGCCGACACCTTATATTGATGAAAGACTGTTGCTTTGTCACAAGTTGCTGTTGTACGTGTTCATAATGCTTGCCTTATATTTTCATAGCATTCTTTTATGAATAGCAGCTGCAGTGCCGATAAGCCAGGAGCAAAATAGTTGATGTTTTTGGTAGAGAAAAAATAGCAATGGATTTGACATGGATCTGTGGCGCAATGTTTGTGCGTCTGACGCCAGATCAGAAGGTTGCGTGTTCGATTTACGTTAGGTTCAAAGCCTGCTTTTTCTCCCCCTGTTTCCAACTTTTTTTTCAACCAGCTGTCGCTCTCCACTGTTGCCAATATCGGTCCTACGTTCATGCACGGTTGTGTGCGGCTCTCGTTTCGTCAAATGTGTAGATGGCAAGGCTTTATGGTTGGAACCAGCTCAGCCTCGAAGATTCTTCTGGTCCAGGAGTCGGGACCAATGCAAGCCACCAGATTCCCTTCCCGTTACAAGAACCTGGGCTCACATTCAGTTCTTCCACGATGACAGGAGGAACCTGGCGAGAGGACGAAGGGTGGCGAATCTACCGGCCACTTCGTGCGACGCTTTCCATTTGACGAACGGATATGCGAACGTAAGTCGCCTCACCTCGCTTTCGCCCAATTGCATTGCACCGCTGCTCTCATTGGCTGCAATCTTTGTCGCCTCGCCACCACCGGATCAATTCTTGGCTCGTGTCGTGCGTGCCTCTCCGGCCCTGCTTCGAGTCTGGATTTCAAGCAGACCTCCAAGTGGCAATCGTTCGCGGCTTTCCCCCTCCCCGCCCCTCCGGTCCGGAGTTCCAACTTCCCCCGCGCGTGCTGTTCTGGGATGCTGCGCTGCGCCCTTGCCCTTCATTTCCTTCCCTTCACTGCTCTGCATCTCCCCTCGCCCCCCCGTTCTCGCACGCGCATTTTCCTGCCCCCCTCCTCCGTTCCCTTCTCGCCCTAACATCAACTTCCCTCCCATACTTCTGAAAGCTGTTTTTTATTCTTAGACGATTATTTTCAGCAAGGCAAGAAACCCACGCATTCCACCTCTGCCTTAGGTCCTTCGCGCCCGTTGCACAGTTTAAGAGTCAGTGCAGTCGACTCTCACTGCCTTGGCCCAACTTATATCCGCCATGGCAGCCTCGTGCGCCCTGCCTGCCGCTGCAGGCGCTACCCTCGGAGCCACCGCGCTCACCTCTCCACGTGCAGGCGGCCAACTGCGTTCCTCTCCACGTGTCGGCTTCCCATTGCGGCGTCGGACGGCAACCATCGCGCTGCGCTGCTCCGCCTCTTCGTTCCGCCGCGTCTCATCCGCCTCATCCCTCTCCGCCTCCCCTTTCCGCCGTATCTCCTCCGCCTCCTCCCTATCCGCGTTGTCCTCATCCTCCTCTCTCTCCGCATACACAGCCTTAAGCATCGCCCCTCTCTCCCACGCCCGCTCTCACAGACCCTTCCTCGCCTCTCCTCGCCGGAAATTCCAGGGAGCGCGTTTGTTGACCGTACGCGCTGCGGCTAAATCCGGCGTGACTAATTCAAGTGGCGCGACTGAGCAATCGCCCAAGGCGCTCCAGCGGCAAGGTTCGCTGGGCGTGTGCGACGAGAAACCGTCGCCGCAGTCGTCGCTGACCATCGAACGGCAAGGATCTCTCCCGGTCCCCACAGATGAAACCGACTCCCTCCCCCCGCCGTCCGTGGCTCCCATCTCCGTGCCCGAGCCATTCGACGAGGGCCTCATCGAGCCGTCGAGCCCTCGCGCCTCGGAGACTGGCGTCGACCGCATCGAGTCGCAGGCGCGCACGACGCTCTCGAAGCTTAAGCACATTCTTTATAAGATTAAGACGCGGGCCGCTGACGTTGAGACGTCGGTAACCATCTTTCCACCTTCAGCGGGAGATGCGGCGGGCATTCCCGGTGTTGTTGCCGGGAATACGGATAGTGTATCAGACAGTAGAGAAAACGACTTACAATTCGATGCCGATGCGAATGGCGGTAAGGTGGAGGAGGAGCAGCAAGTCTTCGTTTCGCAGCAGATCAAACTCGACCTTGGGAGCATCCCAGCCGTTGATCTAGACGTTCCGATTGACATCGACGCATCCTCGCCGTCGGATGCATCCTCGGTCCCTCTCTCTCCCTCGTCCTTCTCAGCCCAGAGCCTCTCCACCCTTTTCTCTGGTTTCTCTCCCTCCGAAAGTCCCGCCGCATTTCCCGCAAGCGAGCAGCAGCTCGACGTGCAACAGATGGACGCGCTGACTTGTACTCGCGCGTCAATTCGATTCGATGAGGAAACGCAAACGGCGGTCGTGACTGTAACGGCGTCTGTCCGGGCCGCGGATCTAGTGGACCGTGCCGCGTACACGGAGCGCACTATGGCCATGGCGACGCGCGCTATAGCGCGTACGTGCCTCGTGTTGGACCAAAAGGCGCAGCGGAAAGCAGCAGAAGCCGTCTCGTCCGCGGCGCAGCAGCCACTGGCGCCCGCGCCAGCACAGCAGCCGACTGACTCCTCCCTAGTAGCACCGCAAATTGCGCCGGAAAAGGCTGAGGATCAGGTGCTGACGCAGGAGCAGAGGGAGCAGGAGAGGGAGCTAGTGGAGCTGCTATCGACGGGCAGGATCGTCAGCTGGAGGATGGCCGGTCGCGAGCTCGGATCCACGCCGTTCCGTCCCCTCTACGTGGTCAATCTCGCGGCGGGCGACGGGGCTGACGGCGAGAAGACGGTGCAGGCGCTGTACCGGCCCGTGGTTGGCGGCGACGCGAGGCTGCGATTCCAGCGCGCCCCGGCGGAATGGGTCGCGTACAAGGTAAGTCAGACTGAGGCGCGTCAGTCTTTCTTTCTTCCGTTCTTGGCATTTCTTTCCTTTCCTTTCTCTTGTCGCCACTTCTTCTAAAGGCTTGTGCTTGCATTCTCCCCATCTTTTCCTTTCCCTCCTCTTCCCCTCTTCCTCCTCCCCCTTCCCCCCTCCTCTCTCCCTCCCTCCGAGCAGCTCTCGCGCGTGCTGGGGGTGGACGTGGTGCCGCCAGTGGCGGTGAGGCAGGGCGTGCAGCTGGGGTCGCGGCGGTTCGCGCAGGGCACCATGACGCTGCTGCCGCACCTGCTGCACCCGCTCGCCTCCGTGCACCCTTCCGTGAGTCCTTCCCCTTCCCTTCTCCGTCCCTGCACCCCTCTGCAAGTCGCTCCTCTCCTCTCCTCGTCTTCCCCTTCCCTTGCCCTCCTTGCAAGTTTCCTTCTTCACTCACTCAGTGCTTCCTTCACTCTGCTGCTCCAAATCAAAGTCAGCATTAGTTTTTGTTATATGTGTATGTGCATATATTTACATACGTGCAAATGAACTCTCCCCTTCCCATCTCAATCGAATTTCCCGCACCCCTCTCCTTCCGCCCTTACTCCAGCGCCTGCGCACGCCCACACAGGCACACACGGTGATCAGCAGCATCCGCATCCTCGACGCCCTCATGGGCTCCTCCCTCCGCCGCCCCTCCGGCTTCTTCGCCGCCCAGCACTGGTCCGGGGACGGCAAGCTTTCGCCCGTAGTGCTCTCGCACCCCATGGGCCCCTCGCTTGGCGCCGGCCTGCACGCCATGTGGTCCAAGCGCGGCACAGGAGCGGGCGGCAGACTGAAGACGGTGGCAGGGTTTGTTCTTACGCGCCTGAGGAGAATGAACCGCGCGCAGCTGTTGGAGGAGATGGGCGGCCCACTGACGGCGGGGGAGATGGAGAGGGTGCTGGACAAGAGGGACCAGATGGTGGGGTACTTTGATGCACTCGCTGCTAAGATGGGCCACCAGGCAGTCATCAGGTGACAGGAGGACCTGCGATGCGACCCCAGCCACTCCTCGCCTCTCAAAGCAGCTGGTTCCGTGCCTGTACCACCATGCCTTGACATGCCATCCCTGATGTGTGCAGGGGTGTCACATAAGGGGTCTTGGAGTGAAGCACCTGTTGTGTATGCGCTCTCTAGGGGTCATGCAGGAATACGTTAGGTCTGCATGTGGCATCGAGGGTCTTGCCATGGGGGATTCTAATTTGCCGTGATTTGTTAGGCCACGGTATGTGTAGTTGCTCAGGCCGTGATGGGTGATAAAGTTAGCGGGGTTTGCTTTTACCAGTATGGCCGCTGCTGCTGCTGCTGTGATCTGGTTCTATGCAGAACTGTAAATCAAAGTAAACATCTTTGCTTGGTGTAAGCTCATAGTGATGTTTGATAGGGCAGTTGGACATTTGTGCTTGAATGCATAACTTACGAAGTTTAGGGCTTGACTCTTGTTCTCATATGGGGGAGGATAAGGTGGTGGTGTTGATTGGCAGGAAATGTTGCAAAGCAGCCAGCAAGGCAAAAGGACGGCGTCGCAGACTATCACCGTGCGACTCACGACGATCGACGACTGCGGTTCGCAGCTACAGCCGGCTGCCCCTCCCTCAATTCCTCCTCGTGCTCTCTTCATTCATCCTCGTAATGCATCTTTCTTCTATTCCAGAACGCGTTCCAGAGAATCGTGAGTCCGACAGAAAATTGCGTTGGAGGACTGTGGTTGACAGGTGGTCAATGTGATGTAGAGTCATCACTATATTCCATGAAATCGTGGTCTGCGTGCACCCTGTTCTCCTTCGCGCCTCCGCCTTGTTCACCATTCCCTCCTCGTCTCGCTCTCTAGCTCCCATTCCCGCTCCTCCACCTTCTTCCGCATACTATCTCGGCACTTTTATCCCTACTTTCGAGATATTATATCTTTTTTTTAAACTAGATCTGATCATTCAGATGCATTTTTCGCTCCACCCGGATTGCTCGCCGACCCTCTCTCTACGTTGAAGCCTTGGTGACACCGTGCATTGTTTAACTGTGACTGAACACCTTATCCCCGGATGGACCCATCTGGCATGGGTCCACCTGTGAGGGGCCCACCTGACGGACCACCTGACGGACCACCTGGAGCGTGCGGCACGGCGTCACCCGGACCTGGACCACGTGGACCTCCAGAACACATGTCACCTGGTCCTGGGCCACGTGGACCCTCAGGACAGGGCTCCCTCGGGTTTGCGCCACGTGGACCTCCTGGTCATGTGCCACCTGGCATGCCGTTTCCACGTGGGATGGGCTCGCCTGGGCCGCGGTTTCCCGGTCCGTCGCATCCCCCCCATCCGCCGCATTCTCCTTTTTCTCCGCAACAATCCGCCCATGGTGCTTATGCAAGACCCCCTCCGCCCTACGGGGGAGGCCCGCCGCAGAACCCGCACGGGGGCATTCCGCCAGGCCCGCCCGAAGGAGTTCCGCCAGGCGGAGGGGCGCCCCCTTGGGGAGGTCACGCGGCAGGACATGCGCAGGGCGGCTTTCAGGGGCCGCCGCATCAACAACCGCCGCCGCCGCACCACGCGCAGCAGTATCAGCACCAGCAGCAGTACCAGCCGCAGTCGCCGCCGCCGCAGCAGCAGCAGTTTCCGCCGCAGTATCAGCAGCACCAGCCGCCGAACCAGCCGCATCAGCCTCCATATCAGCAGCAGGGGCCGCCAAATCAGCACCAGGGGCCGCCTTATCAGCAGCAAGGGCCGCATTTCCCGCAGCATTTCCAGCAGCCGCCCCCGCATGCCCCGCAGCCGCCGCCGCAGCAGCAACAATCGCCGCAGCAGCCAGCGCGCGCGGTGCCGGGCGTGTGGCACGTGACGGCAGTCACGGACGGCGCGCCACCCCCCGCGGCAGGGATGCGCGCGCAGGGACCGGGGATGCCGCCGGGGCCTCACCACCCGCCGTACCCCGCGCAGGGGATGGCGCATGGGCCAGCAGCGCCCCATGCGCCGCAGTACCCCGCGCTTCCGGGGTCCGCCCCTCCCCACCTCCTGCCTCACGCTCCCCCTTCCGCTTTTGCGCCTCCTCCGGCTTTTGCGCCTCCCGTTCCCCTCGGCGCCCCCCCGGCTCCAGTTTCCGCCCAGCAGGGGTTTCATCCGGGGGGAGCGCCGCCGTTGCTCACTCCCGGCCCCCCTCCTCCACCGCTCCCCGCGGGAGCAGCAGCGGCGGGAGGAGTAGCCGGGGAAATATCAAACGGTGTGCCCCCAGCAGCAGCGCCAGCAGCAGCGGCAGCAGCAGAGGCGCAAGCGGTAGCCACTGCAGCGATTGGAGGTCCTGCCCCTGCTGCTGCTGCGTCCGCTGCACCAGCTGCCGCCCCTGCCGCCGTTCCCGGCGCACCTGCCGCTGCGCCTGCCGCTCCTGACGCTCCTGCGGCAGCTGCCGCTGCTGCTACAGCCGCCGCAACTGGCGCTGCTGCCACTGCGCCTGCGCCTCCCCCGGCTGCTGCAGCTCCCCCCACCCCTCCCGCCGCCATCACCTTAAAGCCCAACCCTCCGCTCGCGCCGCAGCCCCCCCTTCCCCCCGCGTGGCTGCAGGCGGCCGCCGCCATGGCGGCTGTCATCTCCGGCGGCGGCCCCCCGCTCCCCGCGGGGGAGGAGCTCCCGTGGGAGAAGGGCGGAAAGAAGGGCGCGGGGAAGGGCGCAGGCGGAGGGGTGAAAGGGGGGAAGAAATCGAGGTGGGACCGGGAGGCGCAGGGGAAAGGGGAGGAGAAGGTGGAGGAAAGGGAGGAGGAGAAGGAGAAAGGGAAGGAAGGAGGGGGAGCGGAAGAAGGTGGTGGAGACAAGGAGGGGGGAGAGGTGGATGAGAAGGGAGGAGCGGGGAAGCAAGGGGAGGGGACTGAGGACGCAACCAAGGAGAAAGAGGGGGAGGGAAAGGAGGTAAAGGAGGGGAAGGAGATAAAGGAGGGGAAGGAAGAGAAGAAGGAGGAGCAGGCGGAGGAGGGAGTGGAGGCATGGACGGCGCACAAGACGGAGGAGGGCACGGTGTATTACTACAACACTGTCACTGGCCGCTCCACCTACCACAAACCCAAAGGCTTCAAACTCCAGGTGCCCCTTCGCCCCCTCCCCGCGCTCTGTCTTCCTGCCTGCCTTGCCGCTCTCTGCTCCTTTGCACGTTGGTTCATGTCTGCCTGTCTTTGAGCCTGTGTGGTGTGGACATGTGTGTCTCCCCGTGGGTGCTTATGCGTGTGCGTGCGTGTGTGCAGGAGGACAAGGTGGAGAAGCAGCCCACTCCCGTCGCATGGTGAGCATGGCATGGCATGGCATGGCATGGCATGGCATGGCATGGCATAGCATAGCATGGCATGGTGAGGGGCATGGAGAGCATGGCATGGCGAGAGGGCATGGAGAGCATTGCATGTAGACTGGCAGTAGGTATCTGTCATGTGGAATGTGGGCGACGTGAATCGCAGTCCTCCGCACGCACCCACCCACCGGCATGTGCCATGCATCACTGCGCTCTCGTTGTGCTCGTGCTCTTATTGGGTCTTCTCCATGTTCATGTATGTGTCTGAAATCGTGTCCGTGTTTCTATTTGTGTGTGCGCGTGCGTGTGTGTCTGTGCGTGCATGTGAGCAACAGGGAGCGAGTGCAGGGCACGGACTGGGCGCTGGTGTCGACGAGTGATGGCAAGAAGTACTTTTACAACACCGTCACGCAGGTCAGCCCCTGCCCTGCCTTGTTGTAAAAGTGAAGTTTTGAGACGTCTCCAAACGTCACTTTTTTTAACAAGTACTTCTCCAACACCGCCACGCAGGCCAGTCACTCCCTTGTGCACCACTCTCACGCCAAGCGATGCTTTTCACTCACCCTGCCGTCTCTCGTCTCTGCTTCTTCTGCCTTCAATCCCATCGCCATCCTATCATCTCCCCTTGACTCTGCATCCGCCTCTCTTCCGTTTCCCCCCCTCCCCATTCCCCCCCTCTTTCTCTCGTCCCCGCCGCACCGTCCGCTGCTGCGCGCCAGGACACGAGCTGGCAGGTGCCCGGGGAGGTGCAGGAGGTGCGGAAGCGGCACGAGGCGGAGGAGGAGGAGCGGGCGCGCGCCGCCAGCAAGCTCTCCTTCTCGCTGGCGGGGCGGGGGGGCGCGGGGGCGGCGGGCAAGGCGGGCGCAGCAGCAGGGGGCAAGGCGACGGCGCTTGAGGTGGTCAAGAAGAAGCTGCAGGTGATTACGGTAGGGGGGGGGGGGAGGGGGGAGGGGGAGAGGGCGGGTGGTAGATTAGGGTTGACGGCGGGCGCAGCAGCAGCATTGGGCAAGGCGACGGCGCTGGAGGTGGTGAAGAAGAAGCTGCAGGTGATTGTTGAGGGGGGGAGGGAGTAGGGAAGGGATGAGGGTGGGAGAAGGGAGGCTTTGAGATGTTGGTATGTTAGGACTTAAAAGGGGGAAGTGGCGGGTGGCGGGGGAGATTGCAGAGATGGCAGTTAGTTCGAGCAGGAGATGCTTCGTCCGTTCAGGTTGCTGCTGTTGTGCCGTGCTCCCTTTTCCCTTGGCCAGCCCTGCTCCCGCTCCCATCCCCTGTCTCCTGCTGCTTGTGTCACTGCACTCGCCTCTATCCCCTGAGTTCACCCGAGAGCGAAGCAATAACTATGAAGTTAACACACCTTTACCTATTCCCTATTCCCTATTCCCTCTTCCTCCCTTCAGGACGCCGACAAGGAGATGAAGGCGGGCGCAGCAGCAGCAGCTGCTGTCGTGGCTGCTCCGACTGCTGCTGCTGCTGCGACGACCAAGCCTGGAAAGAGCAGTGCAGGAGCACAGGGTGGGGATGGGAAGGAGGTCAACGGAGTCAACGGAGTCAAGGGAGTCAATGGGGAGAAGGAGGGCGAAGAAGGCAAGCAGGAGGGAGAGGATGGTGGAGGGGAGAGGGAAGACGGTGGAGAGGTGGCACAGGGGAAGGAGGGCGGGGAAAAGGGCGGCGGGGAGAAGCAGGGTGAGGAGAAGGAGGGTGAGGAGAAGGGGAGTGAGGAGAAGGGCGGGGCGGAGGTTCCGTTGGAAGAGCTGAGTCTGGAAGAAAGGGCGATGAAGTTCCGTGTACGTGCTGCCATGGCCCGATGTGGTGTGGTCTGGTGTGGTGTGGTGTGGTGTGGTGTGGTGTGGTGTGGTGTGGTGTGGTGTGGTGTGGTGTGGTGTGGTGTGGTGAAGCGTGGCATGGCATCGTGAAAGACGGGGTGTCATGGAGTGGTGCAACATTTGGTGGCATTGTCACGTGCAGCATGACATGACATCTTATGCTTTGCATTCACGAAATGGAACCAGCCACCAACCGTTGGGCTTTGCACTCGCTTAGTTACCTCGCTTTCTCCTCTCCTCGCGTCTCCTCTCTTTGATTCAGTCCCCTTACACCTCTGTTTGTTTATCCTCCCCTGGTTACTCTGTTCCCCCTTGCCATTATTCCTTCGAACGATTACACACAAAGAGCAGATGTTTATTGCGACGTGTGGTTTCGCGAGCCTGTCTCAGCAATTCACACAGTGCATGCCTGTTATGTACCACTCTCAGCGTTACTCCTCTGTCTGTGCATGGCGCATGTGACGCCACTGTGTGTGTTGGAACGCAACAGGAGATGTTGAAGGAGAAGGGAGTGGCGCCATTCTCCAAGTGGGAGAAGGAGCTGCCCAAACTCATCTTCGATGCGCGCTACAAGGTATGCTCCCTGCCACGGATTGCACTTCTTACTGCTCTCCCGCTTGCCGCTTGCCTTGTGTCGCCCACATGTCTGCTCTACCTAAAACAAGGGCCATTGGTAGAACTTCGAATCACACGGCAGCAGTGGAGGATGCGTTAGACGAGTGCGTGCAAATTGATCATATCCGTTCTTATATCCAGGCCATCCCCTCGCTGCCGGAGCGGCGGGCCATATTTGAGGAGTTTGTGCGCACGCGGGCGACAGCAGTGCGCACATGAATTTTGACACCACATTCTCTCCTTGCTTCACGTGCAGGCCATCCCCTCGCTGCCAGAGCGGCGGGCCATATTTGAGGAGTTTGTGCGCACGCGGGCGACAGCGGAGCGCAAGGAGAAGCGGTGGGCACACAAGGCGGCTGTGGAGGCGTTTAAAGCCCTGCTGGACGACATGGAGGAGAGCGGGGTGAGTCCCACATCGAGGCTAAGGGGTCTCTTCTACTCTGGGTAACTGGGGGAAGGGGGGACTGACTGAGGGGTTACTAGGGGGAGTGAGGAGGGTACTGAGGGGACCTATTATTAGGCCGATGTGTTGTGGTGAACATTCCAAAGGCTGTGTTCTGTGCATCCACTCATTCTCTCTTTTTTGTTTTTTTACCCAATCCGTCCTTTCTGAATGCGTGCCCTCATGCCCTCAGGACCTGACACACGAGTCAACGGTGGAAACGCTGCACGGCGATGCCAAGTGGGGCTCGGACCCGCGCCTGCTGGCTGCAGCGCTGGAGGACAAGGACCGCCTCGCACTTCTCAATGAGCGGTACGACCCCTCTTTCACTTTTGCTCCTTCCTGCCCGTTTTGTCTCCCCACTTTTCAGCAAACCATTACTTGCAATAGTGTTTACATGCGTTCTAGTTAAGCAGGCAAAACGGCCAAAACGAATTAGCTTTCCAGGCAAGCCAGGTCACACATAGGCTACCTTGCAACTGATTATCGAGAAAGAAAAGAAGCTTCGAGTCCCTCCGTTTGATGTGCACATTAAATATCGTAGACTTGACATATGAATTGAACTTGGGAACCATGGTTGCTTAAGTTGCACCGTTGTCAAGATTTGCCAGTCGGGCAGTGATAAGAGCACTCACAGCACAGCACCTCGGGTGCAAGGTTCATTGGCGAGGCGAGCATGCAGCGTGGTAATGATGCCCCCCCTGGGAAGTGTGAACTGAGTGATGCTCTTTTTGTTTCGGGCCACATGAATTGCCATTCCTGCCTGTCTTCACCACTGCCAATGGTTCACCCGATCAGAATAATGCTGCTTGCTTGAATTCTCTTCGGAAAATGTGGTCCACTAAGAACTTAACTGATAAAGCTAACATTGCTTCAAGACAGCATTGGTTGGTTGGTTGTTGTTGCTCCTGCTGGCCTCCTCTTCCCTTTCTTGCTTCCGTGCACTCAAGATTCGTCCACATCCTCCACAGCCATGTCATCGTTGCCTTTATTTATTTCCATGTTGCTTCTGTCATTGAGCCATGGCATCTTCGTTTCTGTAGCCAAATCTACTTCGTACAGGAAGTAGTTGTTTGGTTTTGCTCGAATCATCAATCATGTCCTGAATGCTTTCTTGAAAAGAAAGGAAGGTTTGAAGAATATGTTCAAAAGAAAGCAAATAAACTATTGTATGTAATGTAATCCCTCTCTCTCCATTTGTGCAAAGCAAGATGTGTGACACACTGTAGTTTTTATTGAACATGAGCAAGGAAAGGAAGTTATCTTCATTTCACGTTTCATCTCATCAGAAAAAGAAAGAATGATTTTTCTTTGGGGAAGAAAGGAATTTGAGCTCTTTGAATCAAGTCCTTCCCGTCATCCTGATTTCCATCTCATGGCATTTTTCGTTCGCCATGTTTTGCTTTCATGTCATTCATGTCATGGCATGCCATGTTTGCTTTGAAAAGCTATGTTGCGCCTGGCGCGTCCAGCGTTTTTTACGCTGGCGTCAGGACGGGGCGTCCAGACGCTGGACGCCCGGATTCCTCTGCCCTGGACGCCCTCTTGACGCTAGTCCGGGCAGGGCAAATCTTTTCCCGGGCAGGGTAAAAAAACCTGCCTAGTAAGGCTACTTGGGGGTTAAGATGCATTTCGTCGTACTTGCGTTTTCCCTCCACACCACCTGCAGAAGGTGTGGAGCCACTACCAGATTGACCGGCGGGACTAGGAGATGACATTGTAACTTAATCTCCTTAACCCTAAATTCACACTACAAAGCCTAAGTAGCGTGACTGGCGAATTGTAGGGATAGGTATGCTAGGCAATGTCGAGAGAAACAGATCTCTCTAATGTCGACCTGGATCTGGCTCTCTGGTTTAGTTGGGGGTCGACCTGGTTGGGAGAACTAGATGGGGATGGGTCCAAACCAAATGTGTGAGGGGGAAAAACTGTGGGTTGCGTTTTTGTAGGTCAAAATCGCAACCCACGTTCGGCGATTTCATCGCGATTCTGGTCGCGATGAAATCGCGACTCAATTTCGTGCAGCAAAACAAACAAATTCCGGGCTGCCCGAAAATATTTTTCCCGAACGTCCAGCGACAAACATGTTTGGCGCGTCCAGCGTCCGGACGTGACCGTCCGGACGCTGGACGCTGCCCTTGCTGGGCGTCAGGTGCAACATAGTTGAAAAGCAGTGATGTTGTTGTTTTGTGATTGTATGAAATCGTTTCTTCAGTTTTGAAGTCTTGACTCTCTACTGCTCTTTGGCAACATGAAAGGAAACTAAAATGTTTGAGACACCTCAAATAAATCCATGTGATAGGTGTTTGTGCGTCTACCCGCTGCATTCTCTGTTGCCAATACTCCTTCCCCCTGCAGGCCAGCAGCCAGAGATAACGTTATAGGCACTATCACAGCCTTCTGACTCTCTCTTCCCTCTCACCTGCCCCTCGTGTGTAAACTTGCTCTCCCTGAGACGCCTTTTGTGTCATTGTACAGCTCGTTCGGGTTGGTAGCAGAATGGCTTGTTCTTGATGATCATGCAAATCAGGTTGCGAGCTGCATGGTCCGGTGCATGATCTGGTGCATGATCTGGTGCATGATCTGGTGCATGATCTTGTGCATGATCTGTTGCGCATGATCTGGTGCATGATCTGGTGCATGATCTGGTGCATGATCTGGTGCATGATCTGGTGCATGATCTGTTGTGCATGATCTGGTGCATGATCTGTTGTGCATGATCTGATGCATGATCTGGTGCATGATCTGGTGCATGATCTCTTGTGCATGATCTGGTGCATGATCTGGCGCATGATCTGGTGCACGATCTGTTGCGCATGATCTGGTGCATGATCTGGTGCATGATCTGGTGCATGATCTGGTGCATGATCTGGTGCATGATCTGGTGCATGATCTGGTGCATGATCTGGTGCATGATCTGGTGCATGATCTGGTGCATGATCTGTTGCGCATGATCTGGTGCATGATCTGGTGCATGATCTGGTGCACGATCTGGTGTATGATCTGGTGCATGATCTGGTGCATGATCTGGTGCATGATCTGTTGCGCATGGTCTGGTGCATGATCTGGTGCATGATCTGGTGCATGATCTGGTGCATGATCTGGTGCATGATCTGGTGCATGATCTGGTGCATGATCTGGTGCATGATCTGGTGCATGATCTGGTGCTTGATCTGGTGCATGATCTGGTGCATGATCTGTTGCGCATGATCTGTTGCACATGATCTGGTGCACGGTCTGGTGCATGATGCATCAGCCGCTGCCTGTGGTGGCCAGGACATCTTGACTTGAGTGTGGCTGTAGGCACGGCACGGTTCTTGCAACGTAAGAATTTTGCAATCACATACTCAGGAGCATCACGATTCTTGAGTCTACTGAAAAGGCAGGCCCTCTTGAGTGAGGATGTAGGGGCGGCGCGATACTTGGAAGTCAAAAGTTGTGCGGCTTAGGAAGGAACCACGCGTTGCTTCTAGGGCGCCTTGTTCTTCCCTCCCTTCCAAGCCTGTCTGTGCCTGTGCCTGTAACTGCGTCTGTGTTTGTGCCATGCACCTTCACCATGGCAGGGTGGTGCCGCTGAAGAGGTTGGAGGAGGAGAGGCAGCAGGAGCGCAAGGAGGCGGCAGAAGAAGCGTTTGTGGAGATGCTGAAAGAGTACCGCGGCAAGCGCTACATCGCCCTCTCCTCCCGCTGGTCCAAGGTGACTCTCTTTTTCACTGCACAAAGTAAATAAAATAAATTCACGTTTTGATCTTTCAAACGATCTATCAGCAGCGCAGTTCAAATTGCACATAGCATGTGTTTTCGAACAAACATGTTTGGCCATTCCAAAATTGAGATGCAGAGGCGCTTTTTATTTAGTCAGCTTAAAAAATATGACTTGAGCAGGTTTAATTACCTACATTGAGCGTTTTTAAACAACGCAATTGGAAAATGAATCACATGCTAGAATCTCTTTTCAGCAGGTTTGAGGTCTGCGTTTGTAAGCTAGGCTAGACTATGTATCATGGATGCGTGGTGGCATGGCATGCACATGGCATGTGTGGCACGTGCAGCAGGTTCAAGGACAACCACACGCGCTGGGATGCCTGAAAAACCCGGTCGCTGTGCTGACTGCACGCATTGGGTAAACGCTGCTGCTAGTGCTGCTACTGCATAGCAGTGAAGCTCAGGCATTGTGAAACTCGAACTCCAGCACGCTAGTCTTGCACTGCTGACTGCATTCCGATCATCCGTCTCTAGAGTCGCCCCTGTGATGTGATGCGCACTCGTGACCCTCACTCTCGTGCTCCTCCCTGTCTGCCACGCACAGCAAGCACAGCGAGAAGGGTGCAGCAATGGCGCGTGGGAAGGATCATCCCTTCCCCGTCCCCCACCTACCCACCTCACTTGTGCTTCTCATTCCTCTCTCACCCGCCGACATCGCTTCCCCTCTCCCCTCGCAGCTGCGGGAGGAGTTGAAGGAGGATGAGCGGTACAGTGCGGTGGAGCACTGGGAGGACCGCGAGCGGCTGTTTGATGCATTCATGGACACACTGCAGCGCGAGGAGGAGGAGAAGGAGAGGGAGGCGCGCAGGCGGTGGGAGGAGGAGGTGAGTGGCGTGGTGGGTGGAAGAAGAGAGGGGAGAGGGGAGTGGGGGGATGTGGCATGCCCCCTTACTCTGCTGTGCTTGCTGCCGCTCGCTACTCGTTCTAGAGCTTGCTATTTGCCTCGGAGGTTTGTGCGGTTGTCCTAACGAAGAGATTGCTGTAAAGGGAAGGAATCTGTGTTGTGATGTTTCTGTGGTTGCTGGCTGCAGGAGCGGAAGCGCGAGCAGGAGCGAGAGGAGAAGAGGCTGCGGCAGCGGGAGGAGGAGAAGAAGGAGCGGGAGCGGGCGCGCGTGCGGCGCCGGGAGGCCAAGGAGGACTTTGAGGACCTGCTGAGGCGCGAGATACAGACGCCCAATGTAGGGGGGAGGGGGAAGGGAGGGGGGAAGGGAGGAGGGAGGGAAAGGAGGGGGAATGGGGGGAGAGAGGGAGGAAAGGTGGGGTTGGTGGGGGAAGGGATGATTCTAAGCATTCTGCATGAAGCAATCGACTTGTTGCGCTTTCGCATGCGTGTGCGTGTGCTGTTCCCTTGGTGTGCCGATCGCCCACTGCTACTCCCTCCCTCCGCTGGACTGCCCACTTGATGTCTTCCCTCCCAGCTCCCGCCCGCCCCCTGGTTGCCTTGTCGCCTCCATGCTCATTGCTCACTGCTGCTCCCCCCCTCCCTCGCCCGCCCGCCCGCCCCCTGGGTGGTGGCAGATATCGTGGATTGATGCGCGGGAGAAGCTGGAGGAGGACGAGGCGTCGTGCTATTGGAGCAAGGAGCTCACCAGCCGCGACCGCCAGGACCTCTTCTACGAGCACATGGCCCGCCTCATCAAGGTGCATTCCCTCCCGTGCATGCCATGACCTGTTGTGCACTTAGGATCACTCAGGTCGCACCATGCACTTAGGATCACTCAGGTCGCACCATGCACTTAGGATCACTCAGGTCGCACCATGCACGGGCCTTCGCCTTCAAAATGCATCACCGGGATCCCTGCCCTTCCTTCTTTCGTCTCTTCTCCTCCCCACCTCCTCTCTGCCCGCATCCCCCTTCGTTTCCCCACGCCCCTCCTATCCACCCTATCCCCGCCCATTCCCTTCATCTCCCTCATCCCCCTTCGTTCCCTCTGTTCGCCCTTCCTTTCCCTCCCCCCAACAGCGCGTGCAAAGGGAGTTCCGCGAGCTGCTAGAGGAGGAGCTCTCAGTGGCAGCCTTCTCTGAGGCTTGCTCGTCGAATCGACTCAAAACATCTCCCCCCCTCCCCCCCTCACCCCTTCCCCCTCCTCTTCTCCCCCAACAGCGCGTGCAGAGGGAGTTCCGCGAGCTACTGGAGGAGGAGCTGTCAGTGGCCGCCATCTCCGAGGCTCGTGAGGACGGGCTCCGCCTCGCCTCCTCCTGGCCCGATGCTAAGTCCGTGCTTCGGCACCAGGACCGGTACCGCGACCTGGTCCGGCACGAGCGGGAGGAGCTGTGGCGCGAGCATGTGAGGAGCCTGGAGGGGGAGTTGAGGGAGGCTGGGGTGATCGATGACGAGGGGCAGGAGGTGGATGTTGCTGCTGTGAAGAGGGATCGGAGGCGGAGGAGGAGGAGGAGGGAGAGGGAAGAGGAGGATGATGAGGAGGAGGAGAAGAGAGGAGGAGGTGGGGAGAAGGGAGAGGATAAGGAGGAGAGGGGAGAAGGGAGAGCGTTGGGAGAGGGTGGAGGGGAGGGGGAGGGAGAGGAGGAGAGGAGGGAGGAGGGTGAGAAGAAGGCGGATGAAGAAGGGGAGAAAGAGGGGAAAGGGGTGGGTGAAAAAGAGAGGGAGGAGGCGGAGAGAGAGGAAAGGGATGGCGTGGAGGTGGAAGAGGTAGATAAGGACGAGGATGAGGAGAGGGAGAAGGAAGAGAAGGAGAACGAAGAGGAGAAGGTAGAGGAGGAGAAGGAAGAGAAGGAAGAGAATGTTGAGAGAAAGAGTGAACTGGGCAGCAATGCAGTGGGGGCCGAAGGAGAGGCTCTGGCGGAGCATGGAGTGGGGAGGCAAAGAGTGGAGCGCGGAGAGGATGAGGGGGGGAGCGGTTGGGGAGATATGAACAAGGAAGGGAGCGAGAGGGAGAAGTGGGAGGATGATTTGAGGGGCGAGGACGGGGAGACAGGCGGGGGGATGGCTGTGGATCTGGGGAAAGAGACGGATAGGGAGGGAGAACAAGGAGAGGACGAAGAGGAGGAGAAGAGCAAGAGGTCTGAGGAGAGGGAAAAGGAGAGGAGAGGGAAGAAGAGGGGTGAAGATGGGGACGAGAAGGAAGATGACGAGGAGGGGTGGGATAAGGAGCACACGCACAAGCACAGACACAGGGAGAAGCGAGAGGAAAGACGTGCGGAAAAGGAGAGGGAAAAAGAGAAGGAGAGGGAGAGGGAGGAGAGGAAGAAGGAGAAGGAGAGGGAGAAGGAGATGGAGAAGGAGAGGAAGAAGGAGAAGGAGAGGGAGAAGGAGAGGGAGAAGGAGAGGGAGAAGGAGAGGAAGAAAGAGAAGGAGAGAGAGAAAGAAAGGAAGATAGAAAGGGAGAAGGAGAGAGAGAAAGAAAGGAAGATAGAAAGGGAGAAGGAGAGAGAGAGGGAGAAGGAAAAGGAGAGGGAGAGGGAGAGGGAGAGGGAGAGGGAGAGGGAGAAGGAGGAGAGGGAGAGGAGGGAGAAGGAGAGGGAGAGGGAGAGGGAGAGGGAGAAGGAGAGGGAGAGGGAGAGGGAAAAGGAGAGGGAGAAGGAGAGGGAGAGGGAGAGGGAAAAAGAGAGGGAGAAGGAAAGGAAGAGGGAGAAGGAGAGGGAGAGGGAGGAGAAAGAGAAGAAGAAGAGGGATAAAGGACGTGATGAAGAGAGGGATGAAAAACGCCGGCACCGGAGGAGGGAGGGTAGCGAGGAGAGTGCAAGGGAGGAGGAAGAGGAGAAGGATGAAGGGGAGGAGACGGATGAGAAGGCGAAATGGGGAAGGCGACACGGGCATGAGCACAAGCATAGGCGTGAGGGGCGTGGGAGAGGGGAGGAGGAGGAGGATGAAGGGAAGAAGGAGAAGAGGCGTGAGAGGGAGAAGAAACGAGAACGGCGAAGAGGGCATGAATCTGACGAGGAAAGGGAGGAGGGGAAGAGGACGAAGCGAAGTGGTAAGGATGGTGAGAGGGAGGAGGGGGGAGAAAGCGAGGGAGGGAAAAGGAAGGAGAGGGAGGGGAGGGATGAGAAGAAGAAGAAGGGAAGGGAGAGGAGGCAGAGTAGTGATGAGGACGAGGAGCTTGGTGAAGGGAAGGAGGAGAGGAAGGAGAGGTACAGAGGTGACGTGAAGGAGGGTCATGGGAGGCGGAAGAGGGAACGGGATGATTCGGATAGAGACAGTGCTGATGATGGCAGCGTGGAGAGGGCGAGGAGAAAGGGAGGTAGGGAAACGAGGAGGAAGGATGAGAAGAGGGATAGGCGAGAAGGAAACGAGAGGGATGATTCTGACGATGACAGGAAGAGAGGACTGAGGGAGGAGAGTGATGGGGACAGCGACGGTGGAGCGAAGAGCAGGGGTAAAGGAAAGCAGAGGGATCGGGATAGGGGCGACAGGGACAGCGGTAGGGCCGCACGGCACGGCGATCGGAGAGACGACGAGTGGAAGAAGGGTAAGCGGATGGAGAAAGGGCGAGGAGGCGTGTCCGATGATGATGAGAGTGATGGAGAGAAGAGGGGGAAGAATCGGGAGGAGGAGAGGAGAGGCAAACACAGGTATGTGAGGGATGGCAGTGGAGGTGAGGAGGAAGAGTCTCGAAACACAGGGAAGGGGGTGAAGACTCCAGAGAAGAAGGGAAGGAAGGAGAAAGGGAGAGAAGAAAGCGGAGGGGATGAGAAGAGGAAGCGTAGGGAGGAAGGATCCGATTCTAGTGGAGACTCAGAAAGGGGGAGTGGTGGTGGTGTGAGAGGCGGAAGTGGGAGGTCGAGGGGAGATGGCAGAGTGAGTGCGGAGGAGGAGGATGAAGACGAGAGGAGGATGAAGGAGAGACGGAGAAGGAATGCGGGAAGGAAAGGGACGGAAGAGAGGGAGGGTTGAAAGCCAGTCTGATGATAGCGATGAGGAGAGGAGGAGGAAAGGCAGGAAGGAAGAAAGTGACAAGGAGAGAGAGGACGCCGAAGGCGAGAGGAAGGGAGGAGGAAGGAGAGTCGGAAAAGGAAAGGGCTACTGCTCTCCGCTATGGGCCTGCTGCCTCTCCGCTATGGGCCTGATACCCCTGAGAGCTCCCGTGGTGCTGCAATGAGCGATAGAGAGGAGAGGAAGAGTGATGTGGAAGGGAGAATGAGCGATGAGGCAAGAGGCAAGAGAGAAGGAGTCCGAGCAGTGAAAGGAGTGAGGAGTCGGAGGGGGCGGTTGCAGTGAGAAGGGCGAGTGAGGAGAGGCGAGGGAAGGAGATTATTGAGGATGCGAGTGAGGGACGAGATACTTCGAAGAAGAGGGATGAGAGTGAGAGTAGGAGCGGGGGGGAGGAGAGCGGCCGAGAGGAGCAGGAGAAGAGGAGGTTGATGAAGGAGCGTGAGGAAGAGCGAGCAGCGTGTTAGGGAGAAGGAGACGTCAGCTGGGAGCAGCAGTGAGGGCGACGAGGGAAGGAGCGCGAGGAGGAGTGGGGACAGGCGTGTGGAGAGGGGGCGAGGCGGAAGGAAGGGAGGGAGGGATGTGAAGGGAGAACGGGAGAGGAGCAGGAGCAGCAGCAGGGGCAGAAGCAGGAGCAGGAGCAAGGGCAGAAGCAGGAGCAGGAGCAGGAGCAACGAGAGAAAAAGCAGGAGGAAGAGAGATAGAGATGAGGAGGAGGAGGAGGAGGAGGAGGAGGAGGAGGAGAGTTCAAAGAAGCATGAGAAGAAGCGGGAGGGCAGGGGCAGTGAGAAGAAGAAACGGGGCAGCCACTCGGGAGAGAAGGCGAGGCGGAAAGTGAAGGAGGAGAGTGGAAGCGAGAGGAGCGGGCGTGTGGAGAGTGAGAGGGACGGCAGTGATGGGATGAGGGGAAGGAGGTGAGCAGGAGGTCTGATAGGAAGGGCAGCAGCAGGAGGCATGAGAGGCAGTCTCGTGGGAGGTATGAGAAGGAGAGAGGTGAGAGGGAAGGGAGTGTTAGCAGCAGTGATGGCAGCAGGGGGAGTGGAAGAGAGAGGTATGAGGAAAGGAGCAGAGGTAAGGCTGGTTCTAGTAAGCGGGGACGTGAGAGGGGCAAAGAGAAGAAGGGAAGTGAGAGTGAGAGTGACGGGGATAGGCGCAGGGAGAGGGAGAAGCGAAGATACAGTGGGGGTAAGGGCAGGCGTGGGAGTGATAAGAGTGATAGCGAATCAGACAGGAGAAGTGGAGGGAAAGAGGGAAGGGAGTAAGAGGACTGGAGGAGGAGAGGAGAGGCATGAGGAGAGGGAGAGGGACAGGAAGAGCAGTGGTAGGGGTAAGAGAGGCGTGGAGAGGAGTGATAGTGA